CTACTCAGCTTATGCTGAGCGTATAGTGTTGTTTTTGCTATACGCAGGTAGGCGTGATGATCAAGGAGCCTGACCTGGATGATTGGGAGATCAGGGTGGCGGATAGGCGACAGCGGGGACATGATTTATCACTCACTTAATATTATACACAGTTTTGTGCTTGAACCCACCTTTGTCGTACTTAATTCTTTTGGATAAAACATTTGATTTCCCTATGCTTGCGTAATGTAATGTTTCATTTCCTCTGAACATTAAAGGGAATTAATTTCCCAACAGTTTTACTTTAATAAATATTTCAAGGGCTTTCCGTTTTACAAAATTTAATTCAAGGAGTTTCATTTAGATGGTCCTAAAAACCATCCGTGTGACCCCTCCGGCTCGTTGGGCCGCAGTGAACTGGGTTCGCGGGACGGAGGGTGTTACAGCTTCACCGTTAAGCGTGTAGTATGTTTTATTTGCTACACGTTGGAAAATAGAAAGAATGATGTGACATGATCCTTGTAGCAGATGTGGCGAGATTGTCGGGATAGATGTGACAATTTGAACTATAACTTCAAAAGTCTTGGAATAAGTGATTGACATGTTACATATTTTAATTCGCTTCCGCATTATTGAACACTCTGTATTATTACAATTTATGTATTGAATATTATTTATGATAAATAAAAAAGTTTTGAATGTTAAAGATTACTAAATTTATACTTTAGTCCAAAAGGGGCTACAGACCTGGACGGATCAGGGTGTTACATTAAATGTGTAATTTTAGTTTTTTTCCAATTTTATTATTATTTTATTCTAGTTTAGGAGAAGATGTGTACATTAATGTATGATGTGATAGGTAGACTAATAATTAGTAAAATTAAAAGGAAGATTTTAATTAAAAATGAAATTTTTTTAAGTAAAAATGAAAAGTGAAATTAAAAAAGTTTTTTGAGATAGAATGAGTACTTACTATTGCTTCTGAATAAATTTTGTTTGTTTGTATTTTTTCGTTGACCATGTGATAAAATAAAATATTTTTGTCACATCTTACTTTGTAGATTTTTTAATACAATTTTGATATATATAATTTGTACCTTTTATTTGCTTCAATGCAAAACCTAGCCTATTTAAGAACGAGGGAAGTATGATATATTGGAGGTAGAAAGCTTTTGATTTTTAACCAAAACCAAAACCCGGGGTTTCGTAATCACAATCAAAACTAAAGCGGTGGGAAGGGTTTTTCAATTTTTCAGAAGTAGGTCTCGAGAGTTAAGAAAGAAAGGATTTGGCACACAATGTCGTTTGGATCCTCAAATCTGAACTTCTCTTCCACGATGACTTGACGAAATACGACGTCGTTTTGATATCTAAATACCGGCACCAAACATAATCGTTTAAAACATTTTTGTTAATCGACTCGAATGATCTTTTTGTCGGATAATGGGTTGTGGGTAATTCCTCTGTGTTTATAAGTTGGTTTAAACTGTTTATAAGTTGTTCTTAACTTATAAGTCAGTTGATGACATATTAATCTATGTTTATAAGCTATAAAAAATAAGTAGGTCGCTTTACTTATTTTTAAATCAGTTTTTCGTTTCTTTATTTTGATCAACCTATTTACAAAACTATTTCTCACCATTTATGAATATTTTCAAATAATTTATCTATCACTTAAATCATTTTTTACATCATGTAATGCTAGAGTCACAAACAAAATATTCACAAAATTCACAAACTTGCCAAATATGTAAAGTAACGATTCAAATAATGGTCTTACATAATTAAAAAAATAAAAACTAAAATATACAAATGTTATATTTGTTTGCATTTTATGAGTATTTTGTTCGTTATTGAGAATTACTCTAACCTTATCAATAACCAATAATCACCCGCAATAGAACACCTCCAACCTCATACTAGTAATAAATTCCAACCTTTTTTCTGCCCAATTTGATAAAACTAGCATCGTACCTGTGGGATGCACGGGGAGCATTTCATTATTATAAATGTCATTAATTAAACTTTAATTAAGAGTTTATATCATAAGGAAAAAAATTTCTTTTCTAAATACCTTAGGAAATTCTAAGGACAAAGATAATATTTCTATACAATAGTTATTGATAAGGATTAATTTTGCAAAATAATATTAAAACATTATTATTAAGTGATAATACATTACAAATGACACGAGAGATAAAAACAAAAACACCTACTCGAAATTTTGCAAAGTGTACACCTCATGATTATCCAACAACAACAACAAAGTGTTTGGTGACTTCCGACTCTCTAATTACTGCGAAAGATTGAAAGGCGTAACCCAATCATAAGGCTAAGGCTGGTGTATTTACTAAAAATAATATTAGGGTATCAAAAAATGATCTGATCCGAGTCAAATACAATTTCAAAATGGGGGACCACACCGACCCTAAAATCTTTGAGGACCGGACCGACCCGGACCGTTATAAATTTTTGAAAAGAGGGCCCGCCCCTAACCCATACCGTTATAAATTTTTGAAAAGAGGACACGTTTGTCAGCCCCTAATTGTTATTGTTGGTGCCCCCACTCAAAATAAGAGAGTGCCCCAATGGCCCCGACATCCAGCTTTCAAATATTTCTTCTTCTACATGTTATTTATTTTGTGTGTTTTAAGTTTATTTGATCTATTTTGAATTAAATGGGATTGTTTATTTTGAATTGATTGCAGTGAGTTATTTATACACTAAAAATATAGCATACTTCTTATATCTCAAAAAACATCTTACTTTTCTTTTTTTAAAAAATAGTCACTACAAAATTTATCTCTTCTCTTAATCAATTGTAATAATTACTTTTATTTTTCAACATCTTTCTTAAATTTTGTAAAAGTGAAACTGAGAAGGTCTTATGAGATTAAAATTAATGAGTTATATTTATTGTATAAATCATTAAGGAGTACTTTAAAAAAAATTCATTTTCATTATTTGAATGTTTGTTTCACATAAAACTTATTACTCTTTTTATTCCAAATTATATATATATATATATATATATATATATATATATAAATCACATCATTAAACTTTATATTTTTACTTACTCATTTGATAAAATAATACAGTTATGTTGTAGATCTTTTATTTAGTTTTTAGATACCCAGTATGTAAATTTTATATTTTATTTCCAGCACAATTTTTAAATAAAATTATATTGAAAATAACTTTAATTAATTATCGAAAACTAAAACAGATCATTTAATTCATGACCCCATGGAGCATGCTCTGTCATTCGATATTTGTCTATGAAAGAAAGTTCATGAGCGCTTCCTCTAAACCCGATTCTTTTCTGTCCCCAGTACTTTTTAATCCTAGATCCGCCACTGGTTCCAAGCTGGTCTCAATGGGAATGCAGGCTTGTCAATTAATGATGATATGTAAACATTTACATCTATATTGATTTATGTATTGTTCGAATAACACCAACTTTAAGTAAACTATACGTTGCAATAAATTTATGTATTGGACTATAAAATTATTTTAAATATTTATTCGTTACTCATTATGTCCTAATTTTACGATCTATTTTTTGGATATATTTCTTAAAATCAATACTAAATATATTTTGAAGCATAATATAGGTTTACCTTAAAATAAACATTTTAATTGTACTCATTATAATATTGGAAACTTTTAAAAAATAAAAAAGGAAGCCTATTTTAGGACGAAGAGAGACTCAAAATCATTTAATAAATTACTCTTTCCGTCATAATATAAATCCATGTTTTTCATTTTCAATATTTCACTCAATTTAATATCAAAACATTTTATATGAAAAAAGATGTATAATTAAAATACAAAAATTATATATTCTAAAATTACATCAAAAGATCGCATGACGTAATAAGGACATAACTATATTATTGAATCAAATTGCAAAATTAAATAAAAAAGAATGTGATTGAAGTTTAACTGTGAGAATAGTTCACATTCAATTTAATTAAGGATTGAGGGAGTAAATTATGTTCATATAATTCATCCATGTTTTTCCGACCTAGTAAATAAATATTAATCCAATAAATATACTCTCCCTTCATTTAGTATTTGCAATAATGTTCATTTTTGATTATTTTTCCTCAAACTTGGGAAACTTTGACCTCAAAAAAAATAAAATTAAAATTGTATATTATTTTGTCAAATAAGTAACAAAAATATGTAAAGAAAGTGATTTAAGTTTGCCGGTGTTAATAAATATATATTTTCATTTAATCATAAGTAAAATGTTGAAAATAATTCCCCTAAAAGTTAAAAACCGGACTAAAACTCAATGAAAAGAGTATTAGTACACAACCCAATAATTCAATCGGTCCAATTTCTTTCCCGGCCTGGATACAAAACCTAATTCCTCAACCCTACGCTTCATTTCCGCCGCTACAACCCTCTCTCTCGTCTTCATCCCTTTGTCACTCATCCGTAACTATCTATCTCTGTCTCGTACTCCTTGATTATTAAAGTATTTGATTTCCATAGATGCTGATTCATTTCGTCGATGCATATATGGATTTATGTGTTGTTTTTTAACATCGTTTTTTTGGATGGTCTGGGCTACGTTTTGATTTAATCTTTTTTTCATTAAGATGTGTTAGAACGCATATTTAAATCATCCAATTTACATATATAATTTTCGGAATATATATATATATATATATATATATATATGTAGTAATGTGCAATTTTTTTTCGAAATTATATATATATATATATATATATATATATATATATATAAATAAATTTTTAAAGTTTCCAATATTACATATATTTGTAAATCAAAACATTTTTTATTTAATTATAAAATTATTTCTTAATCTCTGTCACAATTTCCTTTTTGTTTATTTAATTATAAAATAATTTCTTAATCTCCTAACTTGTTAGTCCTATTTTTATTGTTAGACTAGTACTTGCAACGGTCAATACTAGTAATAAATTCCAAACCTTTTTTCTGCCCAATTTGATACAATCTTCAAGCTTACTTCTGATTTGTGGCAATTACCCCTCCCACTGAACTGTGCAACTCGAACACTCACAGCAGATATAGCAGCTCACTCCGTACTCAGCAGTTCTCCAAACAGGAAGCGAGATCATCATCGCTATCAAGAGCTAAGGGAAATGGCTCTGGTTTCACAACCGGTGAACGAGGAACCTCTCTTCGCTGAAGTGGACATGGCTGGTGATTCCTCCACCGTCCGCGCCACCGTTGTCCAGGCCTCCACTGTCTTTTATGACACCCCCGCCACTCTTGGTCAGCTCTGCGTTTCATTTAGCTTCCCAAATTCTTCTGTGATATTTGATTTTATTATTAGTTTGTTTGGTTTGACAGTTGCGGTTCAATTTATGTTGAATTTGATTGGTTGTTTGGTTCCTTGGTTATTTTTTTGTGGGTTTTGCTTTGATAATTGTAATTTTGGTTTCTGAGTTTTCATAAACGCTACTCCTTAAGGCCATTGATGAATGAAACATTACTCAGTGGGACTTTGTCTAGAATGAAGATTGAACTAAAGCCATTCAGGTCACACTGTATTTTGTTATATGCTGACTGATGACAATTGCTTTTGAGTCATATATTAGGATCTGTTTGAACTAAATCCATTCATCTAGTTTTAATTTGGGGTTCACATCGGCTGAGAAGTATTTTAATGACACGAATCTAGGCTTTCCAATAACATCCTAAAACTCTAAAACTCGATTTCTGAAAAATCCGACTTCCACAGACGATTGTAAGAGTTTAGTTATCCACCGGCCCATTCTAAAACTAAATTTGGACAACTCTGGCTATAAGTAATTCTTGGAGAATCTCCAGCCAAACAGCATTTTATTACATTCACATAGGTTAATCTAATAATTATCCAAGCATCATTCTGTACATGGGCTCTACTTAGTTCATCCAATTTTTACAAAACCTAGGTTTACTCAAGTTCACTAGGTTTACTTATGTTCACCCTGAGAGTTCTTTCACATACATTTAGAGAATTTTAAAATGATTTAGTCTATGAGGTCCATTTCATCCCTTGCTTAGATATTATCAATCATTGTAAGAACACTCAAGTATAGTAGCTGCCTAGCTGGTAGTTTGCAATAGTGTATGACTTGCTCATAGGGGAGACAAAGTTATATATGAATGTGTCGCGGATTGGTGGATAATGGGGTCATTTGATTGCTTTGGTTGGATTGTATTTAACTGATTCTTCCACCCTTTTGGTTAAGATGATTTAAATCCCAGTATTTAATCTACTTAAAATGTTGTTGTATTATGAAGCTTGACGACCTTTGTTACAAACGATTTACTCCATCCATCCCAAATTGAAGTTCCCATGTAAAAATGGCATAGGTTTTAAGAGTAGATTCAAAAAGTGTAAAGAGAAGTTCATTTTTGAGTACTGTTGTAAACTTATAATCTTATTCACTCCATCCGTTGTATTCAAAGCCTCAAAAGAATTAGTAAGGAATAATAACTAAATTTTAATCGACAAAACCTTCGTATAATTGCACTATTTATCTATATACGACTATGGAGGGAACTGTAGCCTCCCAAACTAAAACATTAAAAAAAGGAGGGTAATGACAAATCCTTGTTTCTTAACAGAGTATTAATGCATCCGCTTCAGACTTGAAATGAATGCAATTAATACACTTCAAGAGTGGCAGGTACACCTCTACTACGTGAAAGTGATGCTGCTGCTGCAAGTCAATTCTCTCATAGATCACCACCACATATTCCTTCAGAAAGAACTAGGAAGTTTAGAAACATTTTTAAACAACGAATAGTAGAGATTCTCTTGGAAAACTTGTCAAGAGGGAAACTGCATGAAGGGGTTTTTATACGTACTGCTGCAGCTTTTACCATGTCTAGGAGAAGTGTAAGCAAACTGTGGGAGAGGTCTAAACTTTAAATGTATAGTGGGGTTGCTATTGATGTCAAGGGACTCAAGGCAAGCTTACCAGTTGATGGGAGAAAGAGGCTACAAGTGGACTTGAGCAACATGTCAAAGAACTGTTGGGACTTGGGAGTCCCGGTGACGCTTTTGACCTACCTAAGTCAACAACACATAGACTAGTCAAAAGGAGGGAGATCAGGCCACATTCAAATGCTATTAAGCCATTTCTGAATAATGATAAGATGAGTTAGAAATGGCGTTGGTAAGATTTTCCCTTGCACTTTATTTAATTCCAACAAATTTGAAAACTTTTCAACACCATCCATAGGATGAGAAGCAGCTTTTTATGAGTCAGAAAAGTAAAAAATACTACTTGCACCCTATTGAAGGCCCACGAAGACATTGTAAATCTAAATGGTTTATCACTAATGATATGTTCAAGGCAGTTGTGGCTAGGCCTAGATTTGGGGACAATATAGAGGTCCTATTTGATGGGAAGCTAGGAATATTTCCCTTTGTGGTCTATGAGCCTGCCAAAAGAAAATTATAAAATAGAGAGAGGGGCACCATCAAAACCAAACCTATTCTGTCAGTCACTAAGGTTGTTTTAAAGAGATATTCGACTCAAGATGTAATTCCTGCAATAAAGGCCAAATTACCTGATCATGATAGCTTCTCAGTATAAATTTTAACAAGTCAATGCTCGACCTCAAATAGACCACAATGACCTGGAGTTCATGGAGGCAACACAGTTTAATATATTCAGTTACTAATCCAGCAACCAAACAGTCCTGACTTGAATGTCTTGGACATGGGATTTTTAGGAGCAATTCCGAGTTTGGAACACGAGTCAACTCCGAAATCAGTAGTTGAACTGGTTGACTGTGTTAAGGAGGCTTAAGCAAAGTAAGATGCAGACTCCTTGTTACAAATTTTTGTACGGATTACAACGGACGGGGAAGATGAACGGCCTCGGAAAATAAAAATAAATAAAATTCTGAATCAATAACTTATTCAGAATATTACAAGATAAACAGAATTGAAAAAAATATATATATCTTCAAACAGCCTTGTTGTATGAGGACATTAATCACTGGACATCGAGAACATTATGCACTGGATAGCAAGGACATTATGCACTGGGCTGCGAGGACATTATGCACTAGGGCAGAATGCAGCGAGGTCTTTATGAACTAAACCTGCAAAACAAAACACCGTGAAGGACAGCGGAGTCGCCGGAGCTGTCCTTAAGGTAGTAGTGCCCGCCTACCGTATCGGAAAAGCGTGGGCACTCTCCTCCCAGGATAAAACCGCTATCGTGTGTGGAGATGTACGGACCAACCACACACCAACGAACAAAAACAACGTAGGAACGTTGGCGACCAAAAAACTTTGAAGGGGATGGCCGGAAATTTGGCCGGAAAATCAAGAGCTCTCTCTAAAAATTAAACAAGAAAGTTTTCCCTTTCTTTATTTTTCCTTCCTCACGTGTGAAACCCACACATAAAACACACCACACTAAACAATGGAGAGCCCTTGATATTTATAACTAAGAAATTTTAAAAAATGTAGCTCCTACACCATTAATCCATGGCATTTGTGGCACAATAATGACGTGTTAATGGTGATTAATTAGCCATTAACACGTCTGTTATGCTACGCTCCGTTTAAAATTTGTCCCGAATAATTGGAGATTAATGGCCAGTTAACTCCGTAAAAAGGACTAATTTTAAACAATACGTAAAATTAATAATAGAAGATTGGCTCAGTAAAATTGCAAAAAATTGCAATCCTTACCATATTCTTTTATTAACGGGTTAACTCTGAGAATCAATATCTCATTCACCCTCTACCATTTTTGGCGTATAAATTATCAAAACATTTATCTCATTTAAGAGAACACACGTCCACTAATTAACGGTTAAAACCGTTAGTGAACCTATTGATAAATATACCCAAGTTGGTCCATTTAATGCCTATTAAAAATGCCAAAAATTCCAACAATCCCCCACTTGAATGGAAAATTGATTTGGGGTCGACAACATCCCACGGATGAAAATCTGCATAGAACATGTAAGTGTCTCCACTTTTGAACATGTCCCTTGTAAAGTATACCTTCTTTACTGGCTGTTCAGTAGAACGCGATGTCTTTGAACTGTACTGCCGCTTGTGTAAACGATAGTATACAATACACAAATTCCAACCAAACGTCATTCTGTTCTCATGGTTGTGCCCATTTTGGTCGTGGGACACGCGCCTGGTTCTGCGAGAGTGTTTAGAGGANGTCTCCACTTTTGAACATGTCCCTTGTAAAGTATACCTTCTTTACTGGCTGTTCAGTAGAACGCGATGTCTTTGAACTGTACTGCCGCTTGTGTAAACGATAGTATACAATACACAAATTCCAACCAAACGTCATTCTGTTCTCATGGTTGTGCCCATTTTGGTCGTGGGACACGCGCCTGGTTCTGCGAGAGTGTTTAGAGGATTAAGCCCAAGATCCTCCGTTTGAAGTGACCACACTTCACTCTTACATAGGTGATTCTTTAAGAGTATCCCGATTACTCCACTTAGACCACCGTGTCTATTGATTAAGAATCATTAAAGCATATTTATATGCTAGCCTCATCATTTTCGGGAGTCACTGTCTTCAGCAGGAACAGAAGGGACTGACCGGAGGTTCCGGTACCACCCCCACAGTGACCATGCTTAATCCTACAAGTAGGTTGTCCCATTGAACCTGGGTACCAGCCAGGTTGGGTTTTCCTTCATAGGACTATCCTAGCACAAGGGTTTCAAACCCATTCCTGCCACCAACTTCTCATGCAACTCAATTGTTAACCCTTTGGTTAGCGGATCCGCTAGATTATCTTTTGACTTCACACAGTCAATTGTAATAATCCCAGTTGTGAGAAGTAGTCTAATGGTTTTGTGTCTACGACGAACATGTCTAGACTTACCATTATACATGTTACTCTTTGCATGTGTTCTTATGTATTTCTGAATCATCAGACCTATACACTAAGAATCGATACGTGCTACGACTCTAGCCAATAAAGATTCCATCAATGGTCTTTGGACCAATCTTTATTTCCTTTGGTGGTGGTGCTAAAACTTTTGCAAGACACCCCCACACTTTCAGGTATTTATAGGAAGGTTTCCTATTACACCACAACTCGTAAGGAGTCTTAACGAGTTTTTTTTCAGGGTATTTTATTTAACAAATAATTGCTAGATAAAATAGCCTCCTTTAGGACCAATTTTCTTCTTGTCCTTGTTTGGCGTAGGCCCTTTGGAAGAACCCTCTTTGAGTGGATGCTCCACCACATTAGCCTGAACTGTTGGCTCGTCCGCGTTCTCCCCATAACAGGGGGATCCTCCCTCAAGTACCTCGCAAGGTTGAGGGTGTTCAGCCAAAATAACATCCTTTGCTGCCATATTTTAAAACCAACACCTGTGAACTTTGCCGGTTCTTTGACAGAGTTCGCAGACAGCATAACAGTAGGATGTTCGACCGGTGCGGATGTGAAGACACCCGTGTTCGGTCCAAGTGAGGGAATGACCAGTATGGCCGAAGCCATATTCGGTCCGAGTGGGGTGACCATTGCGGCCGTAGCCGCGGTTGGTCCAATAACCGAGGTGACCGGAGCGGACCCCATAGTCGCGCTCAATCCAACGAAGGTGGTGATCGGAGTGGACCCCATGGCCGCACTCGATCCGAAAGGAATGTTGATCGGAATGGTCTGCCCTACAGAGCCACCCAATCCAGCCGAAACGTTCACAACCGGAGTCTCGGAACTACTCCCGTTTCCGATGTGAGCGTCAAAACCGAATCCGTCCATACCCGCCATTGCGCACAGATATGTCTACTACCTTAAGATTGTTACAAATTTTTGTACAGATTACAATGGACGGGGAAGATGAACGGCCTCGGAAAATAAAAATAAATAAAATTCTGAATCTATAACTTATTCAGAATATTACAAGATAAACAGAATTGAAAAAAATATATATATCTTCAAACAGCCTTGTTGTATGAGGACATTAAGCACTGGACATTGAGAACATTATGCACTGGATAGCAAGGACATTATGCACTGGGCTGCGAGGACATTATGCACTAGGGCAGAATGCAGCGACGTCTTTATGAACTAAACCTGCAAAACAAAACACCGTGAAGGACAATGGAGTCGTCGGAGCTGTCCTTAAGGTAGTAGTGCCCGCCTACTGTACCGGAAAAACGTGGGCACTCTCCTCCCAGGATAAAACCGCTATTGTGTGTGAAGATGTACGGACCAACCACACACCAACGAACAAAAACAACGTAGGAACGTTGGCGACCAAAAAACTTTGAAGGTGATGGCCGGAAAATCAAGAGTTCTCTCTAAAAATTAAACAAGAAAGTTTTCCCTTTTTTTTTCCTTCCTCACGTGGGAAACCCACACATAAAACACACGACACTAAACAATGGAGAGCCCTTGATATTTATAACTAAGGAATTTTAAAAAATGTAACTCCTACACCATTAATCCATGGCATTTGTGGCACAATAATGACGTGTTAATGGTGATTAATTAGCCATTAACACGTCTGTTACGCTACGCTCCGTTTAAAATTTGTCCCGAATAATTGGAGATTAGTGGCCAGTTAACTCCGTAAAAAAGACTAATTTTAAACAATACGTATAATTAATAATAGAAGATTGGCTCAGTAAAATTGCAAAAAATTGCAATCCTTACCATATTCTTTTATTAACGGGTTAACTCTGAGAATCAATTTCTCATTCACCCTCTACCATTTTTGGCGTATAAATTATCAAAACATTTATCTCATTTAAGAGAACACACGTCCATTAATTAACGGCTAAAACCGTTAGTGGACCTATTGATAAATATACCCAAGTTGGTCCATTTAATGCCTATTAAAAATGCCAAAAATTCCAACACTCCTAACTCAGTATGACTTACCATGCATAGTTTTAGAGGTAAAGGGATGCAATGCATATAAAATCCATCACATGGAAAGAGGAAGATTGCTTAGAGGAGGCATGATACCTCTCAAATATCTCCACCCATTAACATTGTGAATAAATCTATTCAGTACTTGAATGAAGGTATGGTTGATGCAACTAACTTTTTACAAGATGGCAGTGCTCAGTTCATTGGTGAAAAATTTGAAGATGAGCAAGAGTGAACTTAGTACCACTATGCAAGTTTTTGGAGACCCTAACATTTGTTGTAAACATTTTTGCACACTCTCACATGTTTTGGCTTAATTTTGCACATAAGGTATGTATGTATGCTAGGTGTCTGTATTTTGGTTATGAAAAAAGTATAATGTCTGTATCAACAATAGTTAAAGCAGTTATCAGTGCACATTTTGGAATTTGGACAGGTATAACCTGGTTACTCTCAGAAAGCAAGTGTGCTACTATTGCAGTTTTTCAATGCATTCAGGCTTAGTTTGGTTTAAACAAAGCAAATGGGGAGTCATCACAATGCATTCATGATTAGTTCGATTTAAACAAAACAAATGCAGAGTCATCATACTGCATTCAGGCTTATTTGGTCTAAACAAAATAAATGGGGAGTCATCATAATGCATTCAAGCTTATTTGGATTAAAGAAAACAAATGGAGAGTCATCATAATGCATTCAGGCTTAGTTTGGTTTGAACAAAACAAATAGGAAGTCGTCATGATGTATTCAGACTTAGTTTGGTTTAAACAAAACAAATGGGAAGTCATCATAATGCATTCAGGCTAATTATGATTAAAGAAAACAAATGGGGAGTCATCATAATGCATTCAGGCTTAGTTTGATTAAAATACAAACAAATAGGGAATCATCATAATGCATTCAGGCTTAGCTTTGTTTTAATACAAATAAATGGCGAGTGATCATAATGCACTTAGGCTTATCGCAAACAAAATCAGAATTTCCGTCATCATCTTATGTGCCCTAGCAACACATAAGACACATATAACCCAATCTTATTGATTGGAGTACTGGGGAACAGGACCTTCACCGTAAGGCGAGTCAGCTTAGAGTGTATAGTGGAGTATCCGCAAAAACCTGATTGTACTCAGACCACTCACCGTGCACAACCTCTGTGGAATATGGGGATTTAAATTCAGAAAATTGGGGGGGGGGGGGATCTGATGTCTTCAAAGACGATGAAGAAGGTAAACGAGATGGGTTTCAACTGGAGGAGTAAACATAATGGGAGAACTTTAGGAGTTCGTAAGGATCCATGAAAACTTTAGAGCTAGTGGAGGAAGACGAAAGGGAGAGAAAAGTATTGTATGAGAAATTAGAGTGGTTAGAGATGTAACATGGGACGAGTTAGATGCGGATGAAGATAAGGTGAAGGGATTTTTTTTAGGACAAAGTGAAGGGAATTAATGTCGAAAGAGTTTCTTAATGGGAATATCATGTCGGGATGGACTAATAAGGAACATGGGGTCTTTATTTTGGGACAGAGAGAGTAGTAAAAAGGCCCTCCGTCTCAAAATAAACTTTACACTACCTTTTTTGGTTGTCCCCCAACACACTCTACACTTCTTTAAATTGAGAAATGAAATGTGTGGCTCACAATCTTTTCTCATCTAATTAAATTCCAACCATCCAATTTTTACTTTTTAACATTTTTCTTAAACTCCGTGAAGTCAAACACCGAAGTTTTTTTGGGATGGATGGATACTAAAAAGCACACATCCTGAAGCTCATTGCTTGATTAAAGGTGACATGGCTGTTTGAGTATAAGATAATACAAGCCTAAGGTTTAACTCAGGAATAATGATTTTCTTATTTTATACTACCCTATGTATATTTTGTTGGAATCAAACATGATAAAGCTACTTTAAAAAGTGTATACATGCAATTAGAGATTTAGGGTTATTTTACCCCCTAGGTTTATTATTCCAAATTAGGTCTGACCTCCAAAGTGAAAAGTTGAGTAAAAGTTCTTTGTGAATACCCCAAAGAACAATAATTTTATTTGTCACTGAATCTAAAAAGAAGTATCCAATAAAATTCAACAAATCATTTGTTACATTTTTGTATCATATGCTTTTGTCTGAGGAATTCACCCATACTAAAAATACAGTTATACAGGTAGTGTTCTTAGCATACCATAGTGTTGACATTTTTACTTCATGCAACTTCTTATTGATCACTCTGTGATATTCACAAAATATATATTTTGCATTGCCAAATTTGTTGAATTGAAATTCTTACTGGTTTAATTAAAACTCACATAGATAAGGCTGAGAGGCTTCTAGCTGAGGCAGCTTCATATGGTGCCCAGCTGGTTGTGTTTCCTGAGGCATTTATAGGTGGTTATCCACGTGGATCAACCTTTGGCATCACCATTGGCAAGCGTACACCCAAGGGAAATGAGGAGTTCCGGAAGTATCATGCCGCTGCCATTGATGTTCCAGGTAGTTGTGTTTCCTTCTGTTGCTCTCTCTGTCCCTTAAAAAGAGTCCTATTTCACAAATGTACAATTTATTAATTTTAGTAACGTACAACTTTTAGTTTTTTTCAAAAAAAAAAACTATATGTGGTCATATTTGTGTGGACCAAAACTATTTTTGTCTCCTATTACCTTTTTTGTCTGTCCTACTATCTTGCTCCATGCCATATGTGGTCATATTTGTGTGGTACATATTCATTCTTTATCTTACATTTTAACATGAATATCAACCACACAATTTTTCTTTCTTAATTTCCATGTCACTCCATCTCCCAAAAATAGTGGGATGGAGGGAGTATAAAAGTATATTTAGATGTTATTACATATTCCCTCCGTCCCAGTGTATTTGTCAACATTCTTTTTTGCACATGTACCAAGAAGATGAAAAGTGTGAAGGAAGTGATCATTATGCCAATGCTTTTAATTTTTGGGTGGCGGAGTTAGAGTATTAGGTGAGGGAAAATATTTCAATGTCACTTTATTTCTTTTCATTAAATGGAAAGTAGACAAAGACACTTGGAGAACCCAAGAGGAAGAATGTACAAATTCACCGGATGGAGGCAGTATTTATTAGCTGAACTGTATTATGTTTCCTTCTTTAGATGACCCTGCTTGCATGATATGCTGTTTCATGCATTGCTTCCCTTTAATTTTTTATTGCAATATTGAACTTACATTTTCTCATTTTACTCGTGTGTATCATTTTATATGTATGTTGTACCTACCTCACATTAGACTAGTCATCCTGACACAGCTGTGGCAAGTGGCAACATAGCTAGCTCATGGGCTGCACCGCACTTGTATGATATATATACCCCATCCATGTGTAGGAAGTGGAAGGCATGGTCCATTATACTCCATATAGTTTTTGACCTGTTCCGCTCCTCTCTCTTCTTTCTATCCCTTTATACCCTAGATCTTAGAACCCACCGATTTGTATGTATGTATATATGCATGCGTTTATGTGTGTCTTGGGTACAATAAGAAGCCAAACTTCTCACTGATTTTAAACCATTAGAATATTAGATTCAGAATCTAATATGGATGATCATTTTGACCTACAATTAATGTTTAAACTAAAATATGTGAGTATTTAAATTTAAGATTTGGTTATCAGAATAGCCAAATAGCACACATCCATCAAGCCATATTCACATGCATATATCTTTTCCAGGTTAGGTAAAATGGTCTTCATTCATGATAGGTTCTCTCATGAGTCTGTTGCAGTATCATGTGAGCAATTGAGATTCACGATCTTGAGTTTATAAGGAAATATACATGCAACAGAGAATTAAAAATGCAAAAGCTTGTTTGTACTGAGAATTTACATATTTATATTTTGTTTCACATCAAAAGTTACGAAGCAATGCTAAACATACACATACTACTTAGGGGGCTCTTGCATTAATTGCTACTTCATCAGTGTTATTGCCAATGGAGCTAAAAGAGTCATTGACGATGTTTTAGTTTCAATGGCCTAAACCAAAATGACACATTAAATGTAGCAATGTGTTCAGGGCTCGCGGAAACAGTCTCTCTATCTTTACAGGGTCAAGATTCGTACATCTTGACCCCCATACCCCAAAGAAATTTGGATTATACTGGGTTGTCGTTGTTGTATGTGACATTCAATAATGTTCTTATATTTGATAAGTAAAAATAGTGTATTCTCTTTCTAACACTTTTGGTTTTGGTTGTCACTTTTTTCCGATCTTCGTACTCTCTCTATCTCATAGACACTGATTGCAGGCCCTGAAGTTTATCGATTGGCAACAATGGCTGGAAAATATAAGGTTTATTTGGTAATGGGTGTTATCGAGAGAGAGGGATACACACTCTATTGTACGGTTCTGTTTTTTGATTCTCAAGGTCGTTACCTTGGAAAACACCGGAAAGTAATGCCAACTGCAATGGAACGCATTATTTGGGGATTTGGAGATGGATCAACAATCCCAGTGTTTGAGACCCCAATTGGAAAAATTGGCGCAGCGATTTGCTGGGAGAACCGAATGCCACTTCTGAGGACTGCATTGTATGCTAAGGGTCAGTAATCTGGTGTTATTATAACAGTATGTTGTTCAATTCTACTCAAAACCAGTTTTTGCTTAAATGCAACAATAATTTAGCTTTTACAAGGTAAAATAGGTGTGTAAAAAACTGAAGTAAAAAATAAGTCGTCAAAAAGTAATCATAAGCTACAAATTCCCAACATCTCGAGACTAGCTTAAATTTGATGTAAATTACTCCCTTCGTCCTAAAATTAACTTCTCAGTTTGACTTTTGCAGTCAAATTTTTTAAACTTTGACTGTATATTACGGAAAAAATATATTAAATTTTCATATAATTTCTTTTTCAATAGATTCATTTTGCAACATAGTTTTGAAATATATTATTTTTATAATATATATTCATATAAAAATGAAGATATTAATGGTCAAAGTATCGCATTGTAGAATGTAGACCGTGAAAAGTCAAAATGAGAAGTTAATTTTAGGACGGAGGGAATAGTTTTTTCTCAATTATAGTCTTTCATCATGAACTGGATAATTGTTTGAAAAACACAGCTGATGCTTTACAGACGCAGCTGAGATACACCTATCCCAAAAATGATGGATTTTTTTTTTACCACAATTAAAATTTTACAAAAGCAGCTGAAATGCACCAACCCCAAACATGCTCATCTTTGTATTCAGTAGTAGCTGTTGTAGGCTTGTCTGCTTCTAGCTATTTTTTTTAGTACAAAAGCTGTTGTAGCTATATAACAACTTCATTGCCTACTTTTTTCATAGGCTTCTATTATTTATGGCATCTTCAAATTTCTAGGGATAGAGATATACTGTGCACCAACTGCTGATGCACGGGACGTGTGGCAAGCATCCATGACTCATATAGCCCTTGAGGGTGGGTGCTTTGTTTTATCGGCCAATCAGTTCTGCAGAAGGAAAGATTACCCGCCACCTCCAGAATACGTCTTCTCTGACACAGAAGAGGACCTAACTCCTGATTCCATTGTTTGTGCTGGTGGGAGCGTCATTATTTCTCCTTCTGGAACTGTGCTGGCTGGACCAAACTTTGATGGGGAGGCTCTCATTTCCGCTGACTTAGGTATTTCACAGGATATATATAACACTCCCTCCGTCCCAAAGTATTCATCAGTTTTACTTTTTTGAGTGAAACTGAACAAACTTTAATTATCAATAACGTAAAATTTGTATTGCATATTAAATACAACAAAATAATTTTTTTTACTTTAAAAAAAAAATCTAATGAGAAGTACTAATATGTAATATAATTTTTATCTAATTTATGATTAAAGTTCATCCAGTTTGACTTGAAAAAGTCAAACTTGGCAGATACTCTGGGACATATGTAAAGTCTGATAATCCCCCGCTTAGGCGATTAACCCCTGGTTGACCACCAATTGTTTTTTGAAACTGACCCTATCTAATGAAAAGTACTAATATGTAATGTAATTTTTATCTAATTCACGATTAAAGTTCATCCAGTTTGACTTGAAGATTTCAAACTTGGCAAATCTGATAATCCCCCACTTAGGCGCTAACCCTTAATTGACCACCAACTTTTTTTTATAACTGACCCTATCTAATGCCTTGCTCTGTTTAGATAACTAGATTTCACATTCTCTGTAGTTATGTGATGACATACTAGTGCGGTTATACAAAACGAGTCTGGCTAGAGTTCGGCTCTGCTCGCTAAGGCTAGAGCTCAGCTTGTTTATTTGAAAAAAAATAAAAGGTCGTGCTTGAGCTCAATTTCATACTCCGTACATGAATGAGCCGCGCTACGAGCCAAGCTTGAGTGAGGCTTGAAGTAGGTTCTAGTCGAGCTCAGATATGCGATTCTCGGGCTCAGGCCCAATGGCAGACCCATTTATGTGTACTATAAATCAATTTATGACATTTTGCTTTTTTGTTCTCTTAAAATGATTCTAATGATCATCCAATCATGCGATTCACAGATCTTGGAGATATAGCGAGGGAAAAATTTGCCTTTGATGTGGTCGGTCACTACTCGAGGCCGGACATCTTGAACTTGGTTGTGAGGGATCATCCCTTAACTCCAGTTACATTCACATCTGCTGGATCAAACAAAGCTGAAAGCTCTGCTAAATAGAGAATCTCAAAATCCATCAATATGCACATTCTCTTCTTCCCTGATGATCCCTATCAGGTTTGTGTTCATGCACCCCCCCATTTATGCATGTATGTACTATGCATGTACATTATTGCGCATAACCCTTTTCTTTTTTGAGTAAATTCCCAAAATAGTCCTTTGTAATAAGGGGTTTTCCCAAATTAGTCCTCAATAAATTTTAATTACCTACGTGGTCCTATATAATTGAGATTTATTCCCAAAATAGTCCTTTGTAATAAGGTATTTTCTCAAATCAGTCCTCAAGTTTTAATTATCTATGTGGTCCTTTGTAATTGAGATTTATTCCCAAGATGGTCCTTCGTAAATAATACTACGTATTACTCAAATGAGAATTAATTGAGGGTATTTTTTATTCGCTAAATTTAGAATTACGAAGTAATTCTTAAAATAATCATTTATAATGAAGTGATTTCCCAAAATGGTACACAGAATTGATGGAATTACACTTGAATTGGAATGAAAACTCTATAGAATTGAATTGGATGAAATTGAACTCTCCAATTCCAATTCATTTTTTGCATTACTAATTCCAGATCCACGTATTCTTGTGCTACATAACATCAGAATTAGAATTGCAGTCTCCAATTCAAATTCCATGACTTGAACTCCGTGTACCAAACAGAGTGTGAGAAAGGGTTAAAAAAAAGAATGAAATGGATATTAATTTGTACACTCAGAAGACAACCCATAGTATATAGGAATTGAGAAGTATTGAAATGATGAGGGACAAAGACCAGCGAGGAGGAGCATATAGAATTGGTGTTATATTTCTGGTGTGAAAGCTTTTGCTATGATCTGTCTTTTGCCTCCTCCGGTCTGAATAATCCAAGACAAACCCATTATCTTTTGCCCTCCAATAGTTCATACATTGGCTCCCCCACAAGTTCCCTTTGTGCCCGCCGCCCACCAACACGCCCGATGCTATTATATTGGGAGAGTTATCTCAAAATCATGCACTAAAATTTGACATCGTTACAAATATTTATGGACAACTATTATATGGGTCGCACAAATAGGTGTTACTCATATATGTTTTCGAAATACATGATTGGCCCGTTTGGCATCAACGTTAGACGTTACTGTTGGCTTTTTGAAAAAGGCAATATGATGGTGGCTTTTGCGTTAGCATTTCCAGAATTAATTTACACCATTAAAATTTAATCCAAAATACTAACGTTGATTGAAAATGTTCTTCCCAAAGAAGGCCAATGTCAAACTCTGATGTCAAAATAGATTTTTTTTCCCGTTATTTTATGTCTGAATTTAGATTTTATGATCTGTATTATAATAACATTTAGAAAAATTTAAAAAAATGATTGATGGGCACATCACGCATGTATGGCGTGCAAAAGCTAGAAAGAAAGAAGAAAAAAAGTTATTGCCAACAAATGCATGTCAACGTTTTATGGAGATTAATCCATGTATACTCCATCCGTCCTATATGTTTCTTCATCTTCGTGTTTTTAACTTACCACGGGTATTAATGTGAAGTGTATAGGGAGTAGATTTTGGCCTTGTTTGGATGTTGGCGGTCAGCTGTTGGCAGTTCATGCCAGTTGTTGTGAATGACCGTTTACTTTAGCTGGTTTGACTGACAGGATGATTTGACTGATTGTTAAAAATGTTTGGTTAAATTAGCTGTTTAAAAATAGTGTTTTTAACTTACCACGAGTATTAATGTAAAGTGTAAAGGGAGTAGATTTTCTCATTTTGCACTTCTTCCTTAAAAAGAGAAGCAAAACCAAAGAATAAAGCAAACAGCGGCAAAGTACATAAACCTTTCACATATATAATCAATACAATCATTACACATAGTCCCAATACGAAATTCATCCACACATGCGGATGATTCACAACATACACAAGAGGTAGGAAGAACTTTTCCCTCCATTTCTATCATATACAACAACAAAAATTCAAAAAGGGGAGAGAAGGTGACTTTTTGCAGAGGACGGTTACTTCATGTCGTCGTGACTGAAAGTGATTGTAAGGTGCAATAGTACGAGGAGCCAAAGTTTTTTAGTTTCTCCATGTAATCTTTAGGAACGTCAACGAGTTTGATGCAGGAGGTAGTGGAATCAGGAGGACGAACAACTAAGGTGATATGGTCATAAGAGTCACCAACTTGATTAAAAACATGAACATGATCCTCACCATAGATGGGATTCTTAACAAGGGCCAACTCATTTTCCATGCAATGCATCTCCTGAAGATCGTCACCCATGAAACGATTACCACGAGCATTTTTCCAAGCTTGGATTTGAGACTAACTATGCACCCACGATATGACTAGCAAAGCTAAAGTGGAGACTAAGCTAAGCCCGATGGACGGTGTCAGCATTTGAGGTCAATGGTTGAATAGTGCTAGAGCAACTTCCAAGAAGGGCTCCAACTATAAATTGATCCTGTTGGAATTAACCATATAAGTGGCAAGGATTCGAACGCGCACTTCATCTTCACAGATAGTGGGAATATTAATTAATTATTCGTAGTAATTATAAGAGTGCTCATCATAATATGAAAAATAAATTAAAAGATGACTAAATAATTTCAAATGCTGATAAAAAATATTGTAATAATTTTAACTCTAATGACGGAGGGAGTAATAATTATGAGAACGATCACAATAATATGAATGAATTAAAAGATGGGTAAATAATGTCAAATGCTGATAAAAATGTTGTAATAATTTTAACTTTAATTTAGATGATAATGATTTAGATCAAATCAATGAGAGAGATTCAAATAGATAGAGTAGATCACATACATAACACCACATCACAACCAAGGCCTTAAAAATGTTGAAGTTGGCGACCCACTACTACATCCCATGGAGTTTGATAGAGACATCTTCTATGGAACTCCCATGAACAATCTCAGCTCCCCACGACCTTACAGACTGATGATGGAACACCACCTAGTTTTGTTTTTCTGGTACGAGGGCAATATGGCAGGGTCGTCCCAGAAATGTGAAAAAAAAAGAAAGAAAGATTGGCCCTGTACAATTGTGGCGGGCACTATTTTTTATATAGTACTCCCTCCGTCCTATAATGTTCTTCCCGATTCATTTTACGAGGTTTGACCAACTTTATTTTCAATTCAATTTATTTGATTGAAGGTGTAAAATTAAAAAATAAAATTTATATATTTAAAAACTAAATCAAAAGTTCTACAAAACAAGTGGTGACAAGACTATATTATTTTATCAAATACCTAATGAAAATAGGTAAAAAAAAGTGATTAAAGTTTGACCGTGTAAAAAGTGAGTGGGAAGAACATTTTAGGACGAAGGGAGTAGTTGAGCTTTAAAATTAGTGCTGAATTTGATTTTTAATAACTATTTTATAATATTTTTAATACTCCGTATTAAAATATAAATTTATATTATATTTAAAAATTACAATTAGAATAATGAAAATTTAATAATACGGGGCCCTAAATATTTTGGTACCCTATGCGGGTGGACATCTTACACACCCTCCGGGCAGCCAATGCAATAAAGTCATAACATCTACACGCATTAATTCTCTAACATATATAGTACATGCAACTCTCCAATGGTATTTACTCTTTTTCAATTCAACAATTTCAAGTTCATTTTGGGAAGAGATGAAAAATATGTTCATTTTTAATTATACAAGTAAGTAATGGAGCATTTAACTTTTTAATTTAGTAAGTTTTAGTAAAAAAAAAGAAGAAGATACACTCTGTGCATATAAATCTTCATTCCCAGTAAAAAAAGAGGCAAACTTTGTACAATTCATGTGACTCAAACAACAGGACAATGAACTTTGACTATATGGAAATTCCAGAAATCATTTATCAAGAAAATGAGTGAAAAATTATATCCACATCAAGGGCATTTTCGTCCAATCGATATCATATTCCCAGCTCCCTGAAACTTTTCATACCCCTAATAACTGCATTGGAGATAGGGACTATCATATCCCCCTGTTCTTGAGATGTACACATAGGGGGATATCCTTGAGAGTGTTGCAAAGGTTGAGTCTTGATTCCTTGGGGCCCACAATTTGTGGGGCCAACTATTTGTGATTGATTGAAAAATTTAATAATTATCAATCAATCACATACGGTTGAAACATGTAAGGACGCATACTCTGGCCCGGATTGGCATTCACAAAATGGGACATTTTTTTTGCCTCATTCATTTGTTCCCTGCAACACTGAATGAATTTGAATCCCCAACCATGGCAGTGAAATCTTGGGAATTGAAGCTTTGATGGCTCCATTTCTTGGCTGGACTAATGATCAAATCTTGGGAAGATGATGTGGTTTTGGAAGAAGAAGAAACAATGTGATCTCTAAGGTCCTTGATCATGTTGTACCTCTCCAACTCGACCTCGCACTCCCTTTTCCAAGAACCATGCAACGAATGCGGCGAAAACCCGTTTGCGCACTTGTCATTTTCTTCCTTTCGCGCAACCCCCGCCGCGAATTCCAAAACAATGCCTTCCGAGGTTTGTCTCTCGAGATATATTGGGCAATGCTTTTTAGATCTCCCTATACTATTACTATTATTATTATTATTGCTAGCCCATTCATAGCTCTTGCTGTTTTCATCCACACATAGCTCAATGGAGTGGAGGTCGCTATCGCCGCCACCCGAATCATCATCCTCATCATTGTCGTCGTTGTGGGTTTTGATTTTTGCTCCATTTGAGGGAAGAGTTTCCCTCAAATGCTTCTCGAGAGCCTTGATTCGTTCATAGCTCGGAGACTCTTCTTCCACCTCTCCTCCTCGACCGCCTTTTTTGAATCTCAAATACGATTCGAGCTCGCTTTTGAGCTCCTCAACGACGGCGTTTTTCTCCTCAAACTCAAACTTGGCTTCGGAGAGCTTCATTTGCACCCTCTCCTCCCTGAGCACGTCGGCGAGCTGGAGCATTTCCCTCTCCTTGTCAACCTCCTCCCTCACCTTAGCCGCCTCGCGCTTCAGCGCCTCCACCTCGGCACGGTCCTCCCCGATGCCGCGTCCAAGCTCGTCGCACACTTGCTCGAGTATCTCCCTCGCCCTCCTCTCGCTCTCGGCCTCTTTCGCGGCCTCAGACAGGGACGCCTTGGCACTCGCCAGCTCTCGCCCCAGGTTCTTGTTCAGCCGCTCGGTCTGCCTCCGCATCCGCTTCTCGCTCCTGAGCTCGCCCACGAGAGACTCCATGGCGCTGTGAACCCTCCTCCTCTCCTTGGCCCTCTCTTCCTCGAGCCGTTTCAGGAGGGAATCGACCTCCCCTTGGATGGCCTTGGTGACCTGAGCGCTGACCTGGTCAAGCTCGGTCTTGAGGGCAGAGATGAGGGAGAGACACGTGGACTGCTGGTCCGCCATGCCCCAAAATCTGGTTAGAAGTTTGAGGAGCTCTTTTGAGGTTGTCAGGCCACGTCGGACTTCTTTCAACCCATGCCTCGTTTGAGAATGACTACTCCTCCCATGATTACTCGTTTCCTGCATATTTATATTCTATAAAGGGGAAAAAAGAAAAAGAAAGTTGTTTTTTTATTAAAATTTTGTACTCCAAGTGATTAGAATGGCGAGGAAATTATATGGAAATAAAGGGTGGGTATATAAAATAAAAACACAAGTAAATGAATGAATGGAGGGGAGGGGGAGGGGGGCCCCAATATATATAATTCAAGAGCAAAGTCTGAAATCCTTTCTGTAATGACAATCGCAAAAAAAGAAACTTGAAGAAGACAACAGAGCATGTCGGAAATAAACATGAGATGTTTGGGGGGTATGTATGGCTTCGAACTAGAAACAGGAACCACATCTTCTTCTTCACTGTTCTTGTCCACGTACAACGTTCACCGTATTTCTCCATTTCCTTTTTTTTCATCTATCTCTTAAATCTTCTGCAACTTCGAATATTCTCTGGCCCCCCACCCCCTCCCAATTCTAGATCATCACAATTAAATACTCCCTGTCCTAAAATTAATTTCTCATTTGACTTTTCACGCTCTCCAATGCGATATTTTGACCATCAATATCTCAATTTTTATTTAAATATATTTTATAAAAATTATATATTTCAAAACTATATTTCAAAATGAATCTATTGCTAATAAATTTATATGAAAATTCAATGTATTTTTTTCCATAATATACGGTCAAAATTTAAAAAGTTTGACTACAAAAGTAAAACTGGGAAGTTAATTTTAGGACGGAGAGTAATAATAAAATAATAGGTAATAAGTTTTCAAAAATAATTTTAATAATAATGCCTTCAAATAATAATAATAATAATAATAATAATAATAATGATGTGAAATGTGGTCCTGAGAAGGTGAGGGTAAAGTTATTAGTGTTCAACTGAAGGACACAATAGCCTTGTCCAGATGGAGGTTAATTAAACTGTAACTTTAGCGTAGCTTAGCTCACTAACAAAATCAAGTTGAGGTATGTATGGGAGAGAGTGAAACATTAGATTTTGAGACAAAAGAGAGCAACTTTTGACTAAAAAGACTCGAATAAATTTCGAAATGGTACCTAAACTTCAAATCCTTTCAGAAAAATCCCTGAAGTGTTGTACCTGTACGAGCGGACGCGGTCGACTCTGCGGGAGATGGGCCGGGCCTTTCCTCAGAAACGGGTCATCGGGGTGAGGAAGGAGTGCCGGATGCGGGAGCAGGACTTTGGGAACTTTTAGGTGACGGAGAGAATGAAGAAGAAGAAAAAAAATAAGCAACAAATTTGGTCGACTTAGGAGGAGTCCCCAAAAAGTTTTGCTCTGTTTTATTTTTAAAATAAGCAACTAAGCAAGAATTATCTCAAATAATTCAATTTTTCATGTTTTTTGATCGACGAAGGAGACAGAACCCCATGTTCTTTCACGCATTTATCTTTTCAATTAGTGCTCTGGACTCGAATTTCAAATTTTTTCTTTCCTTTATGTTCAGTTTTTTTATGAATAACAAGAAAGTGGGTGAAAGAAGAAGAAAAAGAAGTCGAATGGGAGGGGAAACAAGAAGAAAAAAAAGAAGGGAGAGAGTGGGGGGCTGGCGGGGTGGGACTGGGAGTGGGGTGGGGTGAGGAAGCTTTGAAGAAAAAAAGAAGAAGAAGAAGAAGGGGGTGAAAGAAGAAAAAGAATGAGGTGAATGAGTTCAAATTGAAAATTTTAAAATATATAAAATTCTAATTTGGTTCAAATGATCGGAAGTTAACCTAGAAACGGGCAAATGGACGTTTAGTGAAAGAATTGTGTAAGTTTAAGGATTTTTGTGAAAGGATTTGAAGTTTAGGTACTAACTTGAAATTCTAGCTAAAGTTCAGGTACCACTGATGAAATTTACTCAAAAAGACTCATTCCTACATTTTACTTATTTTTACTACCTTCCTGTGTGGTTTATTACCGGATGAAAACCAGTAACTTTATTGGTTGCATTATATTTGATAATACTGCGAAGAAATAGGTAAATGAACGAATTAGATTGAAATTTATCATAAATCTAAATCGATATTTTATCTAATATAATTAATACCCGATTGCGTCTGAGAGTTTAGAGTAACATTGTAACTTTTTTTCCCTCTAAAATCTAAATTCCAAGGAAATAAATTCTCCACCTTATTTTCAAAATTGTTTCAAGTCTAGGCAGTTTACAATAATAATAATAGTAATAATCTTTGGTCCATTTGGTTTTCAAATAGAAAAGAAAAGAAAATGCTCGGTAAAAATACAGTGACTAAAATAAGCTACGGAGTATAAAAAAAAAAACTGGCGTGTTTGGAGGGGGGGTTGACTTCAGAGATTTGCAGTGTCTCTTGTTTTTTTTTTAAACAGGGGAAATAAAAAAACATGGATAGATAGATAGATACCTGGTTGAGGCAAACAGGGAAATCATCATGATGGTGTTGGGAATGCACCAATTTTTGAGAACCAGTGGAAGCTCTCCTTCTATGAACACTTCCCACTCTTCTCCTTTCCATGCCCTCCTATATATATACCCACAACCAAACACATCAACATGCCTCACCAATTTAATAAAATTTATCTCTTTTCATAATTTAAAACAAAGCAAAAAAATAAACACAGATAATAAGAACAATAATAAGCTAGGGTCAACTCCCCCCACCCACCTGAGAAACAGGGCTATGATCATCCTCATTTCCTCTACTACTATTATGTGAAGAAGCAGTATTAACCCCATTGATCTCCCACAAAGTGAACCCCAATCTTCGGGCCGAAACCGAAAAACCTCTGCTCATATCGCCCCCACAATGCGCGTCAAAACACTCGTTTTTCGACGAAATTGGAGGTGAGGGTCTTGAATCGTCATCGTCGCCCACCTTCCTCCCCCTCATCATCATCATCAAAACCCGCGGGGTGCCCCCTTCTCTCCGCCCCACCAAACCCGTCCTTTTTAGCCTGTAACCCCGCGCCAACGAAGAAGATGATGTTGATGATTCTCCCCTCTTCCTCACTTTGCAATTCCTTCCCCTCCTCTCTTCCCCATTACTATTATGCATTTTTTTGCCCCCTTCCCCTACAACCTATCGTCCATGAATATAATCCAATAATACTATGCCGCCAATTCAAAAGAGTCTCTAATATAAGTCATTCCAAAAGAAGCAGCAGCAGATCTATACACAAGAAGAACGAATTGATGAAAGATAGAACTTGGGATCTGTTTATTTTGGTTGATTTGTGTTCTTTTTTTTTGTTTGTTTGAATTGATGTGGTGGGGGAATTGAATTGGGAAAAAAAGAAGGGTTGGCTTGGCTTGGCTTGGCTTGTTTGTGCTTTATTACACACAGTCAAAAGAGAAGTAAGAAGAGAATAGAAACCCAGAAAAAAAGGGAAAAAAAGGGAAAAAGAAGAAAAAGAAAAGAGAGAAATGAATGTTTGATGAAGGTACGTACCCTCAGCACTCTCCCCTTTGGTAATTGTAATTGGGTGTGCCTTATGGAAGATTTGGAGAGTGATGATTGGCATGCAATTTTGCGCATAAAGTTTGTTTCCAACTCTCATAGAAAGAAGAGAGAGTTAAAGCTTCCATCGTATCGTTGGTCGTCGGTCTCTTCAACATAAATAAATGGCCATGGTGGACTCTATACCATTAATACTCCCTTCCTCCTATTTTGATTACAAAATGGGAATTACGGAGTAAAATCTAGGGAAAAGGAACAAAATATGAGTAAAACATACGCTATATCTTTAAAGTAAGAGTTGAAACTTAAACTCCCTAAAGTAGGTGTAATTAAATCAATTAATTTTCTAATGCACTCCCTTCTTACTGATTCTTTCTCAATTATTGGCATTATTATTGTTTTAAGTTGTCACAGAGAGAAAAATAATAGTGATTGAACATTTTTTATACTTGTCAACCAACAATCCAGCATAAAAATGTACAATGCCTAATTGATCGGACAAAAGTGGCATCTTAAAAGCCATAAACATTACCATTAAAAAAAGCAGCCATAAAGGAAGGATGCACACTAATTGCATATTTATTTCAGCTCCTCAGATTTATCTAGAACAAAAGAATATTTAAATTAAATAGTACATTTTGTCCTTAAAGGTGCAAGTTCCAAAATAGTTAAACATGAGACAGAAGTACGATTTACACTCTTCTCTGTACAATTATGTCATGCCGCTACTCAATTGTTCAATGTCATTCAACTGTCAAAATATCCATCCATGGACGCTCAAATGTGTCAGGCTGCTACCGGCACCCCATTCGCTGCCGATGATGCCACCGCCCGACCTGTGTGATGTCATAGTTTGCTGCTGCCATCTACATTTGTCGGTAGGCCTAGTTTGGTCCTTAACCCAATCACTCCTATTTTGCTCCTAGTTTAGCCGCTTAATTGTGTCATGCTACCACTTGCGACGTCGGCACCCCAACTGCCACTGAAAATGCTGCCGCGCCGCCAATGTTGCCACAAGTTGCCACTGCGATCTTCATTTCCTATTGTTGTCGTCACCACTGCGTTTTGCCATCGTCAAGTTGGAACCAAGATGGTGTGCCTTTGTCACTCCCACAATGCCATGGTGCCATTGTCAATATAAAAGTTTTAAATACAATGTCAATCAAAGTCACAATGTCAAAGATGACAATCTATAGTGGCAACTGACAAACATGCCAATGCATAAGGCTGAACATGTAAATGTATAATGTCAAACAGAAAGTGAAAATGTTAAGGTTGCCAATTCTCAGTGTCAAGTTTAAATTGACTTTACCAAATTTTGCCTAACTTAGAAACAAAAATCAAACACCTTAATTAACAAAAAGAAAAAATTGAATACAAAATTGATTGCAAAAACCAAACCTCATTCCAACGAAGATGCAATTACAGTAATTGTAGGCCACAGTTTCATTGCTAAAGAAAAAGAGTTTTTTATATAACGCCAAACGAAGCCACAATGTCAAAGATGATAATGCATACTAACAAACATGTCATTAGGTAATGTCAATCATAATATATAATGTTTACTCTGTTAGAAAGAAATATAGAGCTTGTGCTAACCTAGGGTGATTTCCTATCGCTGATTCGCTGTTGATATCACAGTGCCACATTAACCACCAAAATACACTGTCAAAAAAATATAATGTCAAAAATTGCACCACATAATGTCATACATGACAATACAAAATGTCCGAAATGCCCATATCTAATGTTATAAATGCAAATTGGCAGTGTCACAGAAAGGTATATATATAGGCCATGAATCAGATAATTGTAGTGTAAAAAAGTTTTATGAATCGATATATACATTCCTGATTAATAATGAAAATTTAGGGGACAAAAACGTATCTTTAATTTGCCAATATAAAAATGGTACGTACAACTGATAGATGATGGACAACATATAGCTTCAGCTATCAATAATCAAAGTCCAAAAAAAGGTATAAAAAAGTGACAAAAAAAGGTTTTTGGAAGGGGAATTTCGTCGAATACCTTTTGGGCCTTAAACACATCGAAACAGAACAAAGAAAAGAGGCATTTCCCTACTAGCGTGAACAACAGAGAAGAGATTTTGACATACAGAGAATGAAAAACGCAGAGAAAATTGATAACCACAACTTCAACAATAATAAAGCCCCAAAAAATAAACTCAATCCAAAAGTTATTTACGAATGGAAGGAAAATGAATGGCAACGGGGGGGGCAAGATGATGGAAGGAATCGGCGATGATTGTGGCAGAGGGTCGATGACAATGGTAGCTACGACAACAGATGCGATGGTACAGAGAAGAAGCTAGAGAGATAAACATCGAGATAATTTTTTTGTGCGGTCGAATAATTGATCAAATACAGTTCGGTTAGGATATCATCATCATCACTCATTATTTATTTAATTACTTCTATTTAGAGGAATTTATGTTTGAACTCCTACTATGAGGACATGATATATGTTTTACTCCTATTTAGGGGATTTTCTTTAAAATCTAACAACTTATGAAATCATTTTATTTATGAATTGGTACATCAATAAGAAATACATATTAAAAAATTATATCAAAAATTTTATAAAACAAGAGGTGATAAGAATATTTTATTTTATCAAATAATCAATGAAAACACACATATAAATAAAAGTTATTGAAAAAAAGAAAATAAAATTGTAATAAAAATAGAGAAAAAGAAAGTATATAATTGGAAAAAATAATAATACTCCCTAATAATTATACTCCTAATTCTGGTAAGAGCACTGGGTATACTCCTAACGGCGACCGGCGTTATGGTGATTTTCACGCCCAGGGGGCGTCAAACACCGCCCCCCAGCGGCTTCATCCCGGCGTCAGCACGCACGCGTCAAACAAATGACACTGTAATCCCCCCTAACGGCTATTATAGCCATTGAAACAAAAAAAATTAAATTATTTTTTTATAAATTTCAAACTCCTCCCCCTCCCATTCTCACACCTTCAATCTTCTTCAATCTTCTTCACATATTCTTCAATTCTCCAATTCTCCAACTCTCTTTTGAACATGAATCCTTCCGGCTCCGGCTTCTTCCCCGACGATCTCGAGCCTCACGAGTCCGCGATGTGGTATTTCCAACAATACGGGAATCATCCGCCAATGTTCGAGACGCAACAATCGGAGTACGTCGAGCGAGATTCGGTTCCGGAGACTCAACCGAGACCATCCGGCACGCCGGAAGAGCCACAAAGCGAAAGGCACGATGACCGAGGTGGCACGGTCAATCTAAAAGTGGACGCCGGAGGAAGAGTGCTTATTGGCGTCGGCTTGGGTTGACGTCTCCGAGCATCCTATCGTTGGTAAAAATTATATGTTTTCTAATATATTTATGTTTTTATTTATATAAAATTATATATAATCGTGTCATAAAAAAATTTTCGTGTTATACTTTTTTAAAGGTTCGGAGCAAATGAAGGATCCGATGTGGGATCGTATCGAGGAGAAGTTCTTCACGGCGATGAACAAGGACGGCTCCTACCGTACCCGGGACCAACTCACTTCCAAATGGAGGCACATCAACCGTAAAGTCCGAAAGTTTATCGGAGTTTACGAGGAATGCTCCCAGTCCCGGAGGAGCAGGACGAACGACGCTGATATTCTTCGGCTTGCCACGACCGGTATCAAGATGACGGGCACCAAGGCAAGGTGCCCATCGATCTTTGGAGGATTTTGAGTTGTTCCCCGAAGTGGCAACAACTCAACAATCCCAACGGCGGATCGTCAAAGAAAAGATCCTCCGTCGACGCTGAGGTTGAGGTCGACGACATTATCGGTTCGTCCGAACAAATGCCTCCAACGTTGCGAATTCCGATGACGAGGACCCCATTCCACGGCCGATTCTGAATTTTTTCAATGCAATATATTTTTCGGAATCAAGTGAATATATTTCTAACACGATTTTTAATCAATAGACAACAACACCAAAGTAGAATATATAAGTTTTGGAGAATTAAAAGTGTACTCAAGAAAGTCATTTTAATTCGAATATTTCTAAACGACTCCAGGGTGCACACCATTTTTGGTATGGTTGTAAATGTTTCGTTGTCATCTAGAACTAATATTTTTAATCATGTTTTTACTTTCACTAATGAAACAGTAACATAAAATTGACCATGAGTTAATACCAAATTGGTTAAAAATAATACCCTGGAGTATAACAAATTAAAAGATAATGTTTGACATTGACTTTTGTTAATAGTCATCGCAAAACATAAGACAATTGAAAATTATTTTCTTTAGAATTTCAGGGGGTAGTCTTGAATCAGCTGGTACCAAAATTCTTTCGAGGGATGTAAACCTCTTTTCCCAACTCGATTTTTTTGAAACCACAATTACATTGATAATGTTCTTTTGCAGCTCTTTAACAATTAATCTTCTACCATTACACAATCTAGATTTTTGGTCAATATTCTTCAATAACATATTTCGTACCCCTTTTTTAAAATTATTTTTGGTTTTGGATCCATGAACATTTGATTTCATTCAAAAAACTAACTATTATCCAATCATCTTCAATACCTACATCTGAATATGCTTGGCATGAAAAATCTGAACTTAAGTATTCTTTATCATCCCTTAGAATAAGGGATTGGATAACTTCATTTACCATTCAACAACCCCGAGTGCAGGTGCAAATGGTGAACTACTTTAAAAAAGATTAATTTTTCATGTTCTCTAATAGATTTGGATAAGTGAAGTCCACTATACTCTTGAGGGGTTCTTGTGTCAAGAATCAAGAATTCAGACGGGATTTCAACGTCAACAATTCTATCAATCACTTGTCCAAACTTTTCATCTTCGACTTTGATTATCCAATCAAAAAAGCTTGTGTGTCCAATTTGTGCAAGAGGAAGTAGATGAATACAATCTCAAATTCTTAGTCAATGTTTAACTTTACAATACAACTATATTTTTGAAGAATTGGCGGTAGTACCTACAATTTCCTCTCTCAAAGCTTTGAGTAAAACTTCAAGAATATATGTAAAATCACCCCCCTAGTATAATTGTTTCTCCTCTGAATGGTTCATTTATGGAGTTGTAATTAGTGAACCTCATTACATCTCTCATTGTGCAATCCAATACCTCAAAAGGAAATCTACTCATCGTAGATGATTCATGATTTGAAGACTTTTTGTTGTATTTTTATGTGGTAAAAGTGGTAAGTATTTTTGTCGTTCCCGCAGAGGATAGCTATAAGGGAATCAAGTACTTAGCCAATCAAGCACTAATTGAACTACTAATAATAGTGAATTTAAGTCAAGAAAGTGGATGAAGAGACAAAATCAAAAGAACAAAAGTAATAACTAAAGATTGGAAATAAATAATTGAGAAAGTGATTTGGGTGTTGGAGTATAAGTGTTGGTGATATGCCTAAAAAGAAAGGGGAATTATTTGGGGAATGAAATCAAGTAGTGAGTCTAACAAAGATTTCTTTTCCATTTCCATGGTAAAAGAATTAAATCGTCAAAGTTAATCCCCAATTCCTTGGTGGTTCAACCGAAACAATACTCAAGTAAAACAAGACTCCTCAAATTCCATAACCACTTCCATGGAAGGAATTTGAGAGTGAAGAACAAAGGTCTAGAATTCTAAAACCCAATTTCTTGGAGATTCAAAACTCAATACCAAGACCACACAATGTTTGGTGTACACAAACAAGTAGGCCAAATAATCTTCTATCACAAACTACTTAGGATCAATCCACAAATTATCCACCAAATGAAGAATCAAAGCATAATAATCATCAAACACTTAAACAATCCAACACCCAAATCTAGATATCTAGCCACTCATAATGTCAAGAAACACAACCATAAGAAAAGAACACAAATATTAAAGAGAAATAATCTAACAAGTGAGTACAAAAGTAAGTGAACAAATCTAAAAAAATAGTGATAAGGCTTAGATTTAAGAGGAGAAATTGGGACCGAAATAAACCAGGCTAGAGTTTGGATTCGCTGGAGAGATCACAATCCCCAGGTCGCCGTTTCCGATGGCTGGACGCTCGTCGAAGAAGGAGCAGCTGAGGTGCCGCTGCTGTGCCCCGTCGTCGCCTCCGTCTACCGCTTCTTCCCAGAGCCGTCGTCGATCGAAGATTACCGAGCAGACCTCCTCCGTCCAGTACCAGCGTCGATCGAAGAAGGAACTCCCCTAAACCCTCGTCCGCGTCTTCCGTCTGGCTTTTTTTTCGTCGCGTCTCCCGTCTCTGGTCTAACATCGATCCAGCTTCCTTCAAAACCAATTAAAACTTTTAGAAATTATAAAATAGACCCCATTTTACTAATAAGTTTGCTAATTGGTCTTTCCCTTACAATTGGACTCTAAAATCAAAACATAAACATTAGTCCAAAATTATAATATCAACCAAGGTTATGCAATTTAATATAAAAACAAAGTCAATAAGTCAAACAAAATATAACAATACATGCACAGATAATAGACTTATCAACTCCCCCACACTTAGATATTTTCTTGTCCTCAAACAATCAAGAACAAAGGCCACCACTGAACTCAGAGTGCACTCATGTCAACCTGTGCCAAATGGAAGAATCTAGCATATGCCAAGAATATAAACAAAGACTACTCAAGAAAGCTTCAAAATGGTTCTTTACAGAATGAAAACTCAAGAGAATCACACCAGCTCACAAGATGACGCTCATTCACTCGTATTTTCACTCATGGTGTATTCGCTCACAACCTAACCTTTAAGCACAATCAAGAGGTCTTTATTGGATGGAGGTGGATGGAAAGAACTAAATGGGAGTGAAGGTGTAAGGGATAGATGAAGTGGGATGGTTAGGGTTATTGTGGGTGCATGTAGGAAAGAAATTCAAAGTGTAAACCTGCTATCAAGAGAAGTCAAGGTCGACGAAAAGATGTGATACAAGCTTTAAAGAATCCACCTTAGGAGACAATCATCTAGTGCTCATGCATTTTGGGCGAAACAAGGTACATTCCGGAGCTCGACCCTCCGTTGAGGTATACTCCAAAAATGCAAACAAAAGCACGTATGTCTCATTACTTAATTGCGCACTTATTCATTTTTTTTTCAAATCCCCAAAAAGGGTAAATGTGTATTGCAGTACAAGAGTTGATGCTATCAACGCATACACACATGAGATTGCATATCCACCGGTGTTGTTTAGTGGTGCGATACTAGTCCCCCGCCATGGAAATGTGTGCATGATAAGGTAGCACATGAGACAAAGCCAAGATCATCCTTTTACAATCATACACCTATCAAGGCTCAACTAAAGCAAATAACCAATCAACAAGCATCAATAAAAATATTCCCAACCAAGGGCTCTCCATTAAGCAAAATCAAAACAAAGAATTCTTTTCGGGTAAGAAAATGGGTAATATGGCTAAGTGAAGGTCATGGGGGAAATGGGGAATGGAGTGGAATTGTATTTGTGCCTCAAGGTGTGGGTGTGTGCGCAATGTAGCTCTAACACTCATGGGTCAAAACGCCGATTCTTAAAAGATTTCACAACACAAAGAAACATTGAAGAAACTCTCTTGCACAAGTCTAAGAAAACATTCACCAACATATACAAGTATCACCACATGACACAAGTTAACAACAAATTCCACACAAGCTCTGTTGTACCCGAGACCCTGGGTGGTCTAGGATATATACTTAAGAAGAGGAAGAAGAATAGTAGGGAGTAGAAATATAGGGGAGGCTGAATTCAGGAGAGAACAAAAGAGAGGGAAAGAAGCATTTATCAAGTGAGTAATAAGAGGAATCACACACACTTATCTTCACTCGGGTTAAACTCTAGTATTTAAATAAGGAATCACTCAACTTATTTAATATATCTAGAACCTTAATCTCCCACTTAAGAGAACCACTCTTAAGATATAGAATTAGGATTTAATCTATAGAATTTAGAGAGAGACTGAGCAAGAAACTTATATTATCACAATATATTTTTACAAGCTGCCTAATACAAAGTACCAGGGCTGAAATATATAGGCCATGGAATGGAGAAACAATACAACAAACATGATTACATAATAAAGAAAATACAACAAGGGAAACTTCCCACTTCTTTCCTACAAAACAAAACAAATATTGTCCATGTGTTGATATCCCAAATGAGTTGTATTCTTGGCTAATGATCAGGGATTTGGCATGTATTTATTTTGAGTGGTCTTATGTATGATTTTCGTCCTTAGAGTGGAGGAATAAAGGAAACAACATGGCTTGACTTCTAGTGAAATATAGGACAAAATATTACTATTCAATCAAAGACTTTTGGGCAGGCACATGGATGAGGGATTTAAGCTTTGTTTTGTATTGTAAAAGTCTTTGATTTTGTTGAATAATAACATGGGAATTTCGTCCATATATAGTGGGAATGGTATGTAGCCAAGTTTGTTCCTAAATGACAAAACCTTTAATGTTCAAAAAACCACTTTACTGATTTCTGAGTTCAGAGCCGTGTGATAATCGATTATCGCATATTGATAATCGATTAATCAGTTATGTCTTCTAACCCAGAATTTTCAGAGATGAATGATAATCGATTATCAGTTGGGAGATAATCGATTATGGAGCATTGCTGGACTATGTTAGGAGAATTCAGAGGGAAGCAATAGTCGATTATCTATGTTGGATAATCGATTATCAAGACTTTAAAAGAAGAAAAATAGCAAGCTAAGGTTTTGTTTTGTCTTTTGGTGTTCACCTTCGGCCTAGGCTTAGTAATGAATAACAAAGACTTTATTTTGGACAAAGGAAATGAGTTTGGATATTGTGGGAGAGGGTTTGTGGGTTATGATTTGGTTTAGGGGGGATTTTGGGCAACACGGCCTAAGGGTTGGGTCTTTTGATGGGAAAAAGGAATGAATTCAACCCAATAAGGATTATAACACTCAAGCATTAACCCCTGATTTTTCTTACCCTTTTGTGATGCATGGTGGGGTACAACAAGCTCAAATGCCAAAGTTCTGATTATGATATACCCCGGGATGCACCTTCACACACGCCACTAGTGTTACAACAAGTCAAGTGTTTAATGTCTAGGTGTTATGATCCATTTTGGGTTGAACTCATTGACCCGTCCCACATTAAAGCCCAAACCATGACCCTTCTCTCCCAAAACACAAAAGACCAAATCAGGAGACAAGGATTAAACATGTCTTTTATCTTGCTGTTTTCCCTATATATTTCGGCCCTATGGCCTTGTAAAATCAATTCATTGTATTCCATTTCTTTACTCTTTGAAGTAATATTTGAGTTGGTGTGAAACTAATTCTCTCAATTTCCTAATGAAATATCTCTAAAGTTGGCTACTTTTGAGTGTGTGTTAGGAGTCTATTTCATATAATAATAGTGAATATTATTGTGTGAAAAGAAACAGCCCCAAATAAAATAAGAGTGTGTTTATCTCTTATTCATTATTTGGTTTATCCTTATACAACAAAAACCATAAAAGAACTCCCTCTTTCTCTCCCAATTTCGGCCATCCCCTTTCTCCCATTTAAACACTTCATTTCTTCATCAAAAACCACTCCATAATATTGCTTTTCTCCTGCCCTTCATTCTGCCCTATCACCTCTTCCAAACAACCATACTTTCTTCACCATTTCATACACAAATCCAACCTATTCTTCACCATATATTCCTGATATATCCCGGGTTACACCTTCACACACGCCACTAGTATTAAAAGAAATCAAGTGTTTAATGTCTAGGTGTTATGATCCATTTTGGGTTGAACTCATTGATCCATCCCACACCAAAACCCAAACCATGACCTATCTCTCCCAAAACCCAACCTAGGCTGAAATGCCTACAAGCCCAACCCACTCCCACAAATCCAAAGTATTTTATTTTCTTTTACTACTCAAATAAAGTCCTTTTCCTCTCCCTTGAAGCCCTGGCCGAAATTGAAAGGAAAAGTACAACCTAAAAATAATGTGAGTGTTGTTTTCTTCCCTAAATAATCCTTTCATCAAATAAGAACCTTCTCCACCCCTTCCTACTTCAAAGTCACGAAAATATGCCCCATTTGTCCTTAAAATCAGTCCCCATCCATCACAAACATCCCCCACTACAAGAGGAACAAACCAGGGGACAATGAATAAAACATGTCTTTTGTCCTGTTGTGATAATACATCAAACCCACACCCTTTCACACCCCCTTATCCCCATGGCTGAATTCAGCCCCCCAAATGGTCCATTTATCACCCTTCAAATCAACAATAACACCAAAGGAATAAAGGATAATTCTTAATGTTTTATTCCTCATATGTGGACCAAGAATCCAGCCCCTCGCCTCACCCTTCACATAGCCAAACCACCCCCTTCCCTCACCCTTCACATGGCCGAATTCCCTTCATCAAAGACACCCCATATTCACCCTTTAACATTGATCAATGAGGACAAACCAAAAGCAGCAAACAAATGGATATTATACACTTGATTTTAAGAAAGTGGTAGGAAGCTTCCCTTAGTTTTCTTCTCCCTTATTTATTTTGGCCAAGGGCCTTGTAATGGAGCACCATATTGTAATTTTATTCTCTTTACTCCTTGAGTAAGATATTTGAATTAGTGTGAAGCTAGTTCTCCCCATTTCCTAATGAAATATCTCTAAAGTTGGCTACTTTTGAGTGTGTGTTAGGAGTCTATTTCATATAATAATAGTGAATATTATTGTGTGAAAAGAAACAGCCCCAAATAAAATAAGAGTGTGTTTATCTCTTATTCATTATTTGGTTTATCTTTATACAACAAAAACCACAAAAGAACTCCCTTTTTCTCTCCCAATTTCGTCCATCCCCTTTCTCCCATTTAAACACTTCATTTCTTCATCAAAAACCACTCCATAATATTGCTTTTCTCTTGCCCTTTATTCTGCCCTATCACCTCTTCCAAACAACCATACTTTCTTCACCATTTCATACACAAATCCAACCTATTCTTCACCATATATTCCCCTCTATAATCTGGCCTAATTTATTCATAGCCTTTCCTAAGCTTGGGTACATCATTTGGTATCAAAGCATGTTGTCACACATCCCTCAAGGACCAAAACACACTTTCCTCACTTTTCTCCTCTCACTTTCGGCCATCAACCCCCTCCACACCCTTCTCCTTTTTCGTACCTCTTTCAATATGTCAAACCAATCCCGAAGCATGTCTCATGAAGAACTTGTGGTCTCAAACGCTGCCTTACAAGCTCAAGTGGAATACCTAGCCAAAGAAGTGGCTAAGCTCACAAAGCAAAAGATGTCCATGCTGCGAGATAGTGAAGATGAAGAGGAAGCTAGCTCTAGTGCCACTATGAGAGCTAGGGCTCATGAAAAATCCCATTCTGACTTCAAATTTGATATTCCAATCTTTGAAGGAAAGAATGATCTGGATGAATTTCTTGAGTGGTTAAAGACGGTGGAACGAGTCTTTGATTTCAAAGAAGTCTCCGACGAAAAGAAGGTCAAGATTGTGGCCTTAAAATTTCGCAAGTACGCCTCCACTTGGTGGACGAACACCTGCACCAAACGGATTCGAAGTGAGAAGCCTCCCGTTAGCTCATGGCAAAAGATGAGGAGCCTCTTGAAGAAGAAGTTCCTACCCACCGAATACTCCCGAGAGAATTTTGCTAAGCTTCAAACGCTTAGGCAAGGTACGAAGTCTGTGGAAGACTACACCCGGGAGTTTGAGGAACTCCTACTAAGGTGTGACTTGCAAGAGAACGAAGAGCAAACCTTTGTAAGGTACCTTTTTGGCCTAAATCTCCAAATAGCCAATACGGTGGAGCTGCAAGGCTACACTACATTTGAAGAACTTACTAAGTTGGCTCTCAAGGTTGAGTCTTAAATGAAGAAATCCAAAGCCATTTTATCAAGGAACTCCACACCTTTCTCACGCCCCACTTACACCCCCACCAAACCCCCTCCTACTGCCCACGGCCAAACACCCAAACCCCAAACTCCTTTCAAACCAAACCCCACTCATCTCCCACCTAAAACAGCCCCTTCAACCAACAAAAGAGCCCCCGTGTGTTACCGATGTCAAGGGACTGGTCACTATGCCAATGAGTGCCCAAACAAGAAGATAATGGCCTTGGTGGAATATGAAGATGAAGAATACAATCCCATATGAGATGAAGAGATAGCCGAGGAAGAAGAGAAAGAATGCGTTGGCCCCGATGAAGGAGAACTTTTGGTCATTCGAAGGACCTTAAGTTCCATCTCATGTCCCGAAGAACAACTACAATGGGAGAACATCTTCCACACCCGTTGTACAATATACAAAGGTGTGCTCCTTAATCATTGATAGCGGGAGCTGTTTTAACGTCGCCTCCAAAACCGTGGTGGACAAGCTACACTTAAAGGTGTCCCCTCATCCTAAGCCTTACACGATTCAATGGTTGAATCAAGGCAAAGGGTTATGTGTGGATACACGGTGCTTGATCTCTCTAAGCATTGGGAAGATTTACAAAGATGATATTTGGTGCGATATCATTCCCATGGACGCGTGCCATGTCCTTTTGGGTCGTCCGTGGTTATTCGACAACAAAGTGCAACATGATGGTTTTCTCAACACTTACTCCTTCCTAATGAACAAAAGAAGATAACACTCACTCCCTTACCTCCCCCTTCCTCACCCACGGCCCAAACAAGTAGCAACACCCCCCATCTCTCATCACCACTATACTCCAATCCGAGCATCATGAATTTGAAGGATTCAAAGACCTCATTCTCCTTGACCTTGAGGTGGCCGAACCCTCTCCCCCTCCAAAACAGCCTCACCCTCTAGCCATCCCCATCCTTGAACAATATGGCCATGGTGGTCCCAAAGTGGTGAGATACAAAGCATAGAGGGGGGGNTAAAACTTTTTCGTTTCTTCTGAAAACGTGAAGATGAATGTTAATCTAGAGTTTTTGTGAACTTTAGATTGTGTGCGGAATTTGGTGGGTAGTATGAGCAGTAATCAATATGGATGAGTTAGTTTCACAGTCAATATAATTGCAAGTATAAGTAAAGATAAAAGAGAGAGAGACACGCAAACTTTAACGAGGTTCGAAGGTGGGGTAATCCTTTTACGTCCTCAAAATCCACTATATAGTTGGTTGTTAAAAAATGAACCAACAATTACACTTGTGTGAATTTCTGCACGGTATATCTTCGCAAGGCCAATGTTGCTACTGCACTCGTGCTGGCTTTGTTGTTCCTTCGAAGGTCACGCTTCTTCAACAACTGCAAGATCCGAACAATAGGACTTGAGAGATCAACTTGTGAGAAAGTTGATCTACCCCCTTTCAATCAAGAAGTTTGATCAAAAGTTATATCCTTCAACGTGGTGTGGTACTTGAGGCAAGGAAACCTTCAAGTGTTTACACTATAGCTCTTTGGAAGGAGGAGAAGTTTGCTTCTGGATAAGGAGTTTTAGAAATCTCTCTTTATCAAGCTGTTTGGGCTAACTGTGAATGAGATAGCTTTGTTGTTAGAGATTGCTTCGTTGTGTTTGTCTATCTCGTTGTTGCTTTCTCCAGTCTTCCAAGGTTGCTATTTATAGCTGGATTGGATAATCTATCCGTTGAATCAAAATAGACTATTCGTTGCATTTGATGGCTTCATTTTTGAATGAAGATTGTGACTGAGGATTCCTCATTGGAGTGGGTGTTTGGACATACCCAATTGTTTGAGAAGGGATTCCTTTTTCACAGAATCTGTCTTCTAGCTGTTGTTCAAGAATTCTGTACTGTAGCACTGTACTCAGTTTGTCTTCTAGTGCTTGTTTAGGAATTCTGGACGAGCTCTTTAATTTGAGGGGTCAGACTTTGTCTTCAAGTCATTTGTTCTTGAATCAGCTTAATTATCTTCAATCTAGCCGTTGAAAATCAAGAGATTGATTTTTCCTTACCAACGGGTAGAATTTCTTCATTCAAGACTTAGAATTTTTCTAAGTCTTTTCTCACTTGTCCGCTTCTGAGAGTTCCGGTCTTTTCTTGAGGCATCCGGTTCTTTCGCTGACAAATCCGGAAGAGTCATTCACAGACTTCTAGGTGAGAAAGAGATCCGCGCAAGTCTTCCGATTTGAATGACTTAGCCTTCAGCGGGTTGTAGCGAGACATTCGGTTAACATGTAGTGTTCCGGATTAGAGGATTTTCATCTGCTTTGAGAAATCCTTACTTGCCTCTGACATTTCTGATCAAGATATCCAATTTCCATATCACAGAGTTTGATTAAGTCTTCAAGCATCAAACCACTTAAAGAAATATCACAACTTTATTGGAAATCTCAAGAACTCGGTTTTAACAATATTTCTAAAAAGAAAAATTACATTAAATATTGGGGAGGCCTAAAGTCCCTATTACAATCTAAATAGATCATCATCAAAATCTATAATATTTTTCCAACAATTTCCCCCTTTTTGATGATGACAAACAGGTGTTTAAGAGTTCTGGTCGCTGTACTGAGAACTAATTTTATAACTTTCTTTTAGTTTCTCATAATACACAACTTGTTAACAAAAACTCTTAAACAAATACAATTCAAATTACAATAATTCCTAAACCAAGTCTTGTCTTGAGATTTGTGATATTTTCTGCCATTTGCCGCTTACACTTCCAGCAGATTTTGCTTGGTAGTACAGATGGCGGTGCGTTTGATAGATCTTTAATATCCAAAGTGGATATTTGAGATCTAGGAACCAACATCTCTCCAAAAAAAAGCAAAAACAAGAACAAAAAGAAAGTGGAGAGAAAGGAGGCCGCAGTGGAAGAAAAGAAAAAGACAGAAAGACAAGAAAAAGGTTTTGAAAAAAAAAATTGATAGTGAAAAAGATAAAATAAGGGTTTTTAAAGATGAAAATAAAATTTTGAAAAAGAGTTTAAAAGAAAAATATGATAAAAAGAAGGAAAAATTTTGAAAAAGTAATTTTTAAAAGAATGCTTGGGAAAAAGGGTGCAGAGACTGCACAAGTAAAAGAAAAGAAAGAAAAATTTTTAAAAAAGAATTAGAAGAAACAAACATGGAGAGAGTGTTGTTTCCAGAGAAGGTGTATGGTGTAATCCTGAAAAATACGAGATTTCCACCACAGACCTTCTCTACTACCGAGATTCTCACCATAGACCTTGAAAGTCTTTTCTTCTCATTAGGCTTTCTCCATTGCCGTCTATGAGGGTGAGAAAGAAAAATTTCCCCATTGAGGATATTCTTCTTGGTGTTTTTATCAGATAGTGAGTTTGAAGACTTTTCATATTGAGAGAGTTGTTTGTGATAGGAATGAATTGGAATGTCTTGATTTAAATAGGAGAAGAGGTAGAGAGAGGGGAGGTTCACGGGTAGTTGGAACGGTGAGAGTAAAGGAGTTTCACTTTCCAAGAAGTTGAATTCTGAAAAGTTGAAAGAATCTTTTACCAGTTACCAAGGTGTTGAAACTGTTCTAATTAAAAATCAGTTTCATTTGGTTTGAAAAGTGTAACTGTTTTGGTTTGGCTAAGCCCAAAAGAGTGGCCCAAAAAAAAAATCTATGCACTAAAGGGAAATTATTCCTATTGGGTTCTCAAGGCCAAAAATAAAACTATCATTTTTCATTCTCTATAGTTCTAATTTCTAATTAGGACGAGGCAGTACCAAAAAAAAATTGTAATTCATTTTTAAAAGAAAAAGTGGTACTATTTTTCCAAAGTCCTGTACATTATAAAAATCCTAAGGACGAGTACTTAAGAGGAAAGTTGGAAATGAACTAAGGATTAAAGCTCAGTTTAAGAAAGCAGATTTTGTAAAGTACCTGAATCGGAGATCTCCAACTTAAGTACTTAAACTGAGGTATCCGGCTTCCATTGCTTAGAGTTTATCAATAGTTCATTGCCAAAAACAATTGAAGCAATTGTTAGCCAAAAACAGTTAAGTTCCCCCTGAATTAACATTCCCCCTGAATGTATGCGCTTAAGGATAAATCTCAAGAATCACACTTAAAATGAATATGATCAAGCAAAATAAGCGTAATTAAGAGAACTATTAAGCAATGTTTAAACCAAAACTCATGTTTAAACAAGAAGGTGTTTTCATCAAAACCAAATAGTGTTTTCACATACTTCCCCCTGGTTTGATGAAAAGAGCCTTCACTGCTTCCTGCGCTTTGATGATCCGGCAGTCTCACCAATGCCTTGCATAATTCCACACTGTTCTTTGATGCGCCTTAGATTGTTGTATCTCTCCTTTGTTTGTGCATCATCTAAGAAGTGGGAGGCAATGGTTCCAACAACTTCTGATCCATCAAGGCCAGAGTCTGTTAGATGTTGAGTTGAGTTCTCCGGATTGCTCTGCTGGGCTTCCAGTATCAGTTTCGTCATGTTCAGATGAGATGGAATGTAAGTGAGCTCTCCTTGCTTGACTTCAATAGGCAGCTGTGGAATTAGGGATGGACTATTGTGTTGGACAATTACATCTATCTTGCGATTGCCAGTGTATGTTCCAAAGTGCCTAAACAGCCTGAATGCTTCCTTCTGATTTTCAGCAATAACCTTCAAGTAGTCTTGGGTTACTACCTGATTTGCTGAAGACACTGCCAATGCTGATCTGATATCCATCTGAAGGAATCCCATCTACTTCTGAAGACTGACTGTGACAGTTGCTATTTTCTCCTTGATTCTAGAGATTTCTTTGAATTGTAGGTGGCTGTCAGATGCATAGGCTTCCATTGTGTTGCTCACAGAGTTACTCAAAAGAGAAATAATCTCTAGAGTCTTGTCCACGGATTTGCTTATCTCCTTGAGATCTGAGCAACGTTTTTCTTCGGATTTCTCCATCAGCTTGTTATGCCTAGCTTCCATTTGCTCTATCTCTTGCCTAAAGGAGGCATGCTGAGACGCTAGGGCTGATTTAATCAACCCTTGGACCTTTCTTGTCCAGTTTTCCGGTACCTCATCCGGAAGGGTGGATGTGGAAGAACTGTGGAAGTGAAAGTTAGTTACCTGATGTGAAGAAGGTGCTCTGTGGAAGAGTTGCATAGGGAGAGATTCAGCATCTTCTTGCTCAGCTTCTCCATCATCAATCTTCAATGTCCTTTCAGACTCTTCTTCTGTCTCATCAAGCATAAAGTTTGAGACTTCCCTAGAGAGGGAATCTCTTTCTTCAACTTCATTCTGCTGCTCAAACACAGCTACTAGAGTTTTAGAGGTCTCCAGTCCAGTCATTTGAGTTTCCTTCTCAGCTTCTGCAGAACTTCTCTGGATTTCTACAGCTTGCTCTTCTTGGACTTCATTTGCTTCTGGAGGTTTGGACATCTCCGGATTTTCTGCTGACTTCTCTGGAATCTCAGTTTCAGTAGGATTGGAGATCTCACAAAGAGTTGTGAGAATCTCTAAAGCTTGAGATTGGAGAAGTTGCTGGAGTTTTTCTTCTGATGCTTCTTGGTTCTGTTCTTGTGGAGTAGAGGCTGCATTCTCCTGGACAGCTTCAGTCAGAACCGTTTCAATGGCAGGGGAGGTTTCCAGGAAGATTTGGAAATCCTCAGCTGTGGCTTCCATATCTGCTTGTGCTTCAATGGTAGGAGCCATCTGATCTTTTGTAGCCTTTGAGAAGATTGGCCTGTAGACTGTAGGATCTTCATCGTCAGCCTCAAATTCTGAAACTGGTGAGGTGACCAAGTGTTCCAGATGCAAATCTTCATAGTTGCTTTGCCATACCCAGTCAACATCCAGGATTTGCTCACAGCAATAGTTGACTAGCAGACCTAAGCATTTCTTGATGATCTTCTCATTCTTCAGTTGCTGGTCCTAACTCAACAACTGTTCTACTGAATTTCCAACTTTCCAAGCTCTCCAGTCATAGTAGAGCTGCCAGAATTGATTCTCAGCATCATCAATTTGAGGCTGTGAGGAAGTTGGAGAATTCTGAACTTGAGGAATTTCTTCATTAGGTTGTTAAGGGCTCTGGTTGTGGGCAGATGTTTCCTCAACATGTTCCTTTCCCACCAACTCATCCGGGTTGACATTTCTAGATGTTGAGGGAGATGTGATTTTCCTCTTCTTCTTCCTTTGTAGTTCTCCTTGGGTAGAAACTTCTTCTTCTTCTTTTTCTTGATTCTGTGGTGCTTCAGCACTGGGAGAGGGAGACACCACTTGCTTCCTTTTTACTGACTTCTTCAGACTCATGATAAGGACATTGTCTGAAGAACTTTCCTCTGCAGTTGCACTAGTGCCAGCTCTGTTTTCCCCTTTGGAAGACAGATAGTATAGCCAATATCTGGCATTATACTTCTTGCCTTTAGAGGCAACGCCCATGGACTCCAAGATGTACCCAAGGTACAGTCCTTGACACAAATACTTCTGTTTGGGGTTCCCTAAGTGCTTTGAAATGGAATTGAAGAAGTGGTTAGCCCAATTTACCTTAGATTTGGTAATGAGGGCGTTGATGATGAAGGCCCTCTCTTGAGTGATGTCATCAGCATGTCCTCCACTTCCACACCCGAGGCATGCGATGACCAATTCCAGGACTAGCTTGTAGTCGTTGTTCAAGTCTGATTTCTTCACTGGGCCAGAGGGGATTTGCCCATAAAGCCCAATAATCTTCCAATCCAAATTCTTGGCTCGAAGTCTCCCAATTTCACTTCCAGTATTGGGAAGATGAAGTTTCTCCTTCAATTTCTTTTGCGAAATTGTCACTTTGGCCCCTCCAACAGTGGACTTGATAATTTGAATCGTCCTCTGTGGATTCTTTTCCATTGGACAGTTTTGACCTTTCCATTCTTGTAGAATTCAAGAACTTCACCTTAAAAGCTAAAGTTGCTAGTTTAGAAAGCAAATTGGGAAAGTTTAATAATGCCTCAAACACCTTAGATAAGATACTTAAGCAAAAAGTTAGTAATGGTGAAGGACTTGGATATAAGAAAAACCAACCTAGAAAAACAACATTTGTTAAAGCTAAGGGGAATAAAAATGCTAGGACAAATAATCAAACTAGAAGAGCACATCCTAGCAAACCTAGAACTCATTACACTCAACCATATAGGATGAATAATCCTAATGTTATTTGCCATTATTGTAACAAGATAGGTCACATTGCACCCATGTGCTTCACCAAAATTAGGCATTTTCAACAAACACACACACATCGCACATATGCTAACCAAAAACGACCCAACAATACATGGGTACTGTAACGCCCTGCAACCCGGTCTAATAGAATTGATTAATTTAATTAATTAATTACTATTTCGGACCGGAGTTGGGGAAATTAAAAGTTCTTAGAAAAATTATTTGATCATATCATTAAATTCGTTTTGACCGTGTGATTCTAGAAACGCAACCGGATCTCAATTCAGACCCGTTCGGGGGGGAAAGCGCGTACCGTTCAGGTCAGATTTTTACATTTCGGGGTAAATAAGTTTTGTAACCTCCCTAGACCCTTAGTTCGGCTCTTTCAACACCCCCATCATTTCCATTTAATAGCCTCCTTAATCACCATAAAACTCCACCCTTATTATTCTCAATTGGTAACCCCCAATTGTGAATTCAATCATTAAGCTCCAGCATCACCATTCATCTTCTCTCCCTCTCCCTTTGTTCGGCNAGATTTTTACATTTCGGGGTAAATAAGTTTTGTAACCTCCCTAGACCCTTAGTTCGGCTCTTTCAACACCCCCATCATTTCCATTTAATAGCCTCCTTAATCACCATAAAACTCCACCCTTATTATTCTCAATTGGTAACCCCCAATTGTGAATTCAATCATTAAGCTCCAGCATCACCATTCATCTTCTCTCCCTCTCCCTTTGTTCGGCAAGTACAGCAGTCAAGGGGACATTCGGCGAAGCTCCAGTGGGTGCAAGGTTGAAGGAGAAGAAGAGCTAGGCCGTTCGTGCGAAGCGTAGTCATCGTTCGTCCGTTCGTTAGCACCGTTCGTTCGTCTCGTTCCATCAATCCCTTCGTTTAGAGGATAGTAGTTGTCCCTCTAATTATAGAACATTTAGTTATAATCTATGTCGTTATATTCATAGGAATATCGTACGCAACCTACGTAGAATCTAAGCATGTTCGTAGGTTAACCATCCAACATACGTGTGTCCATGTTATGAAGTTGTGTACTCGTTAATATGAATGTTTTGAAACCTTGTAAGTTCATCGGATATTTAGCATGGAAATATAAACATTCGTTTCTAGTACTTCCAACGTTTTGATGACAAACAAACAGATAAAATGGAAGTCAGCGTGCCTTGATAATCGAGTTACAAGATAGTACAATCGACTATCAGGCCACGCTGGACTCCTCAGTTGATTCAGCACAGCGTGATAATCGATTATTACATGTGTGATAATCGACTATCAGGCCCTGCAGATTCTTGGGTCTGAGTTGGTTTCACTGATAATCGATTATCACATAGGCAATAATCGATTATCAGGGCTCTCTGGACTTAGGACTCCCCGGATAAACCAACTTGACAATCGATTGTCATAGGGCGACAATCGACTATCACAGTCTGCAGGACTCTGGGGACATAAGCTGCACAGCATGATAATCGATTATCAACAGTAGACAATCAATTATCAGCCGGTTCTAAACCCAAGGCCATCACGTTGAACAAATTGTAATCAAACACATATGCACAAATTGAATTTAACTCCCTTCTTTAATCAATGCATTCATTCCATCATGTTCATTCTAGACGCATGTTCTAGGTTTTCATCATGTGCATACCGCTGTAGGGAGGACTTCGTGCGCCTACTACAGTGGGCCCGTCCAGGGACCTTTGGGGACCAACGGGTTTTCATCATGTTGGGCTTGTGTACGTACATAGTAGTCAGGTTACGGCTACTACCCGGTTTTGCTAGTCCACTCGCGACATCTTCGTCGTGCCCGGCTCGTTACCGTTCGGGGACGATGACCGGAGTACAGGGGTGATCCTCTCGAGTGAGACTAAGCCAGGGGTGTCCCTTATAGCTTAAGTCATGCATCAAGTCATATATCATCATCATGTATGTTCCTTGTTATTTGAAATAGCTTGAACAGGTGAAAACTAAACAGTTAGTAACGTGTGGTCTCCCGTACGTTAAGTACAGGTATTAGTATGGGTATAGCCATATGGGTTATCACTTAATGTTCTTTTGTTAGATTCACTCCTCAGCTTTTGCTGTGCGTGTAGTTGTTTTTGCTACACGCAAGTAGACATGACGGAGCTGGTGCCAACCCTGGAGAGCAGTGACGATGGAGAGATGGGCGGCGCACGAACACACTCATATTTACTTTTAATTTCTTGATTAATTATCTGGGCATGAACCCACCCTTTGTCGTTATTTAATTTGGACTGGATTATTTACTTACTTCTCCATTTACTCCGCACTTTTATTACACACGTTTTGGGAGTAACTCCTGGGAATTTCTTTCGCTAATTAAAACCCAACCATTTCCTTACTAAATAGTCATTAATGTTTTTTTTGTAATGGGCGGTTCTCGGACTGTCCATGTAACCCTACCGGTCCATCGGGTCGCGGGTGAACCGGGTCCACGGAAGGCAGGTGTTACAATTTGGTATCAGAGAGTTTCAGTTTTGTGAAAATAAAATATATTTTGTCATATTGGGCCAAAAGGTATTTTTCAAAAGTTCACAGCCGCATCTCCCATCGCACTACTCCCAGGGAAAGGTACACCGTTATTTAAATCACATGTATGCCATATTATAATTAGTTCTGATTTAAGTTATTCCTATAGAGAATGAGTCAAGCAGCTGGCAATGACGGACAGGCTGTCCCAGAGGGGGAGCCTGAGCACGTGTGCGTGCACACTGAAGCATCAAGCTTCACACCTCAGCAGGCCTCCGAGCAGGCGGTCCCGGGCGTGGGCCCTATACCGGAAGCCATCCCTATCGTCCAGCCGCAGTTCGCGGCTAACTTTATGAACTTCCTCCAGCAGATGGCTGGAGCTTACGTGCCACCACCGCCACCACCGCCGCCACCAGTGGCGGTGGTCACCATCGAGAAGCTCCGGAAGAATGGGGCTGAGGAATTCTTGGGCAATCAGATCGCTGACCCCATGATTGCCAAACGGTGGTTTGAGCGAACCATCCGAGTGTTGGGGAACCTGAGGGTTCCACAGGAGCAGCGTGGCGACCTCGCAGTCGCATTACTTCAGGATTCCGCCTACGACTGGTGGAAGCGTGTGGGAGCAGACGTCCCAGAGCCCGTGCAGTGGGCCACATTTGACCGACTCTTCCATGAAGAGTACATCCCTGAGCACTTCGTCGAGGCGAAGCGGGAGGAGTTCTTGAAATTCACCCAGGGTGAACTCACGCTGCCTGAGTATCTACAGAAGTTTGATGAACTCGCGGGGTTTGGGCAGGACCTCGTCCCGACCGTGGAAAAGCGGTGCAAACACTTTGTGGAGGGCTTACGTCCCAACCTTTCGGCTCATCTGATCATTGCTCCTCCGGGTGACATCAACGCATTATACAAAAATGCGTTGGATTTGAATGCGGCTCTCGCCAAGAAGGCTAAGTATGAGCAGACGCAGGGGCGTCAACAGCACCAATTCGTCCTCCTCCACCCCAGAAGGCGGGGACCAATGGCAAGAGGTCCTCTGCAGTGCCTAGCAGCTCTCACCAGAGCAAGAAGGTGAAGTCAGCCCCAGTCTAGTCGTCTGCGTCCGTCCAGAAGAAGGGCAAAAGCGGTGATGGGTTCCGTAACCCAATCTGCGACCGTTGTGGGTGCAGGCATCCAAGAGAATGCTGGTACACTCTGGGCTTGTGTCTTGGGTGTGGCCAGGCCGGGCATTTCCGCAGAGATTGTCCAAAGAATCCGGGTGAGGCATTCTCGACCGCACCGGCTTCTTCAGCCCCAACAGCGCAGCCCGCCCAGAGCCAGAAGTCGGCGGCAGCATCTAGTCAGCCCAAGCGGCAAGCATCTGGCGCTCAGGCAGGGAAGGCCCCGGCCCGCACTTACGTGATGCGAGGGCGTACCGAGCAGCCAGCCCATGACATCATCATGGGTATGTTTACCTTATTCGATACATCTATTACAGCCTTGATTGATCCGGGTTCCACTTTATCATATGTTTGTATGCCTATGCCGGTTATGCCTAACATTCCGAGGGAAGACTTAGACAACCCAGTAATTGTGTCCAACCCATTGGGACACAGTCTACGACTCACCCATGTGTATCACGACTGCCCATTAGTGGTCCAGGGAAAGACCTTCCCTGCAAGTCTCATTGAGCTTCCACATCTTGAGTTTGATGTTATTCTAGGCATGGATTGGCTCACCGCCAACCAAGCCGTTGTTGACTGTGGGGCGCATATGGTTCGGCTGAGAGCCGAGGACGGTAGCGACATTCTGGTCCGTGGAGAGCTTCTTCCGAAAGCTCCAGAATTCATTTCCTACATCCATGCTCGATGACTCATTCACAAGAAGAAGTGTGAAGCATTCTTGTGCACAGTGCGTGACACTCGTCGGGAGGCGCCTAGTAGGGGGGACATCCCTACGGTATGTGACTTTCCTAATGTGTTTCCAGATGACTTACCTGGTCTACCACCCCCTAGGCAGGTAGAGTTTTCCATTGACCTTGTTCCAGGAACAGGACCGATCTCGATCACACCTTATCGCATGGCGCCTGCGGAGATGAAGGAGCTGAAGGCTCAACTGCAGGAGTTGCTGGATAAGGGCTTCATCCGTCCCAGTGTGTCCCCTTGGGGAGCACCGGTTCTGTTCATCCGCAAGAAGGACGGATCGATGCGGTTGTGCATCGATTACCGTCAGTTAAACAAAGTCACTATCAAGAATCGCTATCCGCTACCACGCATTGATGATTTGTTCGACCAGCTGAGAGGAG